ATCTAATATAATCTTAATTACTTTTATAATAATTATAATTATTATTATAACTTATATAGATTAAAAGATAAAATATCTAAAAGAGTAAGTTAATAAGTAATTATTTTTACTTAATTTAGCTAATACTAAACTATTATAATTTATTAAAATTTTCGCGTATTTTATTCTTACTTTCTTATCTTTAAGTCTTATTATCTTTATAAAAAAAATTATTCTTTAAATTAAACTTTATAATAATATACTTATAATAACGTATAATATATATTCTCTTTATTTCTAATATCAATACTTACTAGAATTAACGCTCTTTTTAATAAAATAAATTTTAATTAAAATTAAGAATAACTTAGTATTCGTAGATATTTATATAAGCTCTTTAATTCTTTTATATATATTTATTAATTTATCTTTTTATAATAATTAAAGTAGAAGAGACTAAGTTTAATAATTTATTATAATAAATATTAAATATTAATAATAATAACGATATTAAAGAGTTTTAATATAGATTAATTAGATAGCGATTAAACTCTTAATTAAAATAAAAAATAGAGAATAAATTTAATTAAAATAAAAATACTAAGAGATCGCGATAGCGAATAAATACGTTTATATTTAAAGAGAAACTAATTAAAAAAATAAAGAAAGCTAATATCTTAGTTATTAATTATATTATAATTATTAAAAAATATAAAGTTAAATATATTAATATATTATTATTATAATAGAAGTAAGCTTTTAAGTAAATTAGATAAGATATAATAGATAAATAATAAGTAATTTTTAATTTTAATTATTATTCTAATAAATTTATATTTTAATAATATTATATAAAAAAAGTATATAAGCGTAATTATAAAGAAGTTTAAAATTTCGTTTATTACGCGAATTATTATATACGTAGATAAAGATAAAAGCTCGAATTAAAAGAAAATAAATAATATCGAAATTAAATAAAATATAAGTGTTAAAAATAATTTTATTATACGCGCTAATAATTAAGTAGATCTTATCTTTTAAGCTACTTAAAAGCGTAATATAAAATTTAACGATAAGCGTTATTATAGCTTAAATATAATAATATTAACGCGCTAATTAATAAATATTAAACTATTATAAAAAATTTAAAATATTAAATATAATTATATCTAGAAGATAAAATTATAGATCTTTATTTATATATAATTAATTTAGCGTATAATAATAAAAAGCTTACTATAAAAGTTACGCTATTTAAATTAATATTTTAATCTTAATTATTACTATCGCTATTATACGAGTAATATAAAACTACCTCTTATTTAAATATATCTAATTTTTAATTTTAATTATTATTATAGATATCGCTAATTCGTTTTAGAATTATTAAATATACTTTTATATACTTTTTATATCTAATTTTTTTTTATATATCGCGAGAAGATAGCTTAAAGAAATATAATTTATTATATTAAGCTATAATACTTTTAAGAGAATACTAAGAAATATATTAATTTTTCTAAATTAACGATTTAATAAAAAGATTATAATTATAATATATATAATTTTATACTAGATAACGATATCGAAAATATATAATAAGCGTATAAAATTATTATCGATAATTTTAATTATAAAGTATTAGCGAATTTCGCGCGGTTAATATTAGAAGAAGATAAGCTTTTCTTATTACTAGTAGATATAGCTCGCTTTCTTTTATATATATAAAGTAATAAAATATAATTATATTTAATTCTATATCTTATTAATTTAGCGTAATTATTAACTAGAATAATAATTAGAATAATTACTTCTAAATATAGAAATCTTAATCGAGATATCTTATATATATATTAGTATATATAATAGAATAAGGTAGAGCTAAACTAGAAAACCTTGAATTTATATGTGCAGCCAATTATTAATTCGTTAGGTCTACGCTTTTTGATTAGATATCGCGGGTAAACAAATTAGCGTCCGCAACTATTAAAAAAATAGGTGTACATTATTAACATATAGAAAAACTTTTTTGTTTTCTATTAACTTTTTGAGATTTTAAATTTTAAATTTTGGAGCGCAGTCTGCGCTTTCCGAATTTTTAAGAATTTTGAAATTTGGTCTTATAATTATTAAAGCGCAAGGAATTCAAATATCGCTCACCAGAGTTCGCTCGACAGCCGGACAGCCCTGATCAAAAAAAACAGGTATACATTATTTGATTTTAGAATAACTTTTTTGTTTTCTATTAAAATTTTAAAATTTTTTATTTAAACTATAGAGTATAATGTGGGCTTTCAGATAAAAAAAGAATTATTAAATTTAGTCTTATAGATATTTAAAGATAAGGAATTCAGATATCGCTCACTAAAGATCGCTCACCAAAATTTACTCGACAGCCCCGATCAAAAAAAATGATTATGAATTTAATTTATAGGTCTTTACTCGTTATTTTATAATATAATATTATAGATATATTATATCGTAAGATATTCTATTAAAATCCTATACTATATTAGATATAAAATAATATAAATCTTAATAACTTATATTATATTAGAGTATAATATAATAGATTAATATCTTATATTATATTATATCTTTTCGACTAGTAATCTATTTATATATTAATTTATAATATTAAAAACTCTTAAGAGAAGATACTTAAATAAGAAAATTAATTAAAGAGTTAAATATCGATAGAATAAGAAGCTTCGTCTATATTAGATTATAAAGTTTTTTTATATAATTATAGAGTAGCTAGTCTTTATAGATAAGACTTTATTTAATAAATTTATAAGCTAATAATATAGAGTTTATACTTTTATTAATTAAAACGATTAATATTATATAGATTTAAAAAGAGAGTATTTCTAAAATATACTTTTAACGTATATAGAGGTCTATATCGAAAGTTCTACACTCGCACTAGTATAGCCCTAATCCTACTTTCGAAAAGCGACTCTATAGAGAAGAAGTCTAGAAATATCTTCTTATAGCGTATAATGAAATTTAAGATACTTCTTTTAGCCTTAATAGAAGTATTAAGTCTCGAAATCTAACTAGAGCTAGGTGCGATTTCGAAGAACTTTAGATATATTATCTAGATAATCCTTTAGATAAAGCGTTATTCGAAGTTTAAGCGTAAGAGTCTTAACGAGTATAGAACTTTCGGTGTAGATCTCTATATAGTAAATAAATATCTACTCTATATTAGATTTAAAAAGAGATAATTTAATATTAAAGTCTTCTTTCGATAATTAATTAACGAGTTACTATCTTATTACGATATTTTCTTAATTTATTATAATATTACGAGTAAAGGCCTATGAATTAAATTCATAATCATTTTTTTGATCAGGGCTATCGAGTAAATAGGTGAGCGATCTTTGGTGAGCGAACTTTGGTGAGCGAACTTTGGTGAGCGATATTTGAATTCCTTGCGCTTTAATAATTATAAGACCAAATTTCAAAATTCTTAAAAATTCGAAAAGCGCAAATAGCGCTCCAAAATTTTAATAGAAAACAAAAAAGTTATTACTATTGTGAATAACGTACACCTATTTTTTTAATGAGGGAGGCGCGGGAGGGCGAGATTTTGATGGTTGCGGACGCTAATTTATTTACCCGCGATGACTTAGCTGGTCTAATCAAAGAGCGTAATAACTCTAAATTTATAATTGGCTGTATATACAAATTTAAGATTTTCTAGTTTAGTTCTATCTTATTCTATTATATATACTAATAATTATAAATAATACTAATATATACTATAATTCTTATATCGAGAAGATAATTCGTTAATATAATTACGAGATTCGATATTTACCTCTCTACTTATTAGATTTTAATTTTATCGAGCTCTCTTTTAATATCTTAAAGATATAAATTTAAAGATACTTTTATAAGATATAGCCTTAGTTCTAAAAGAACTTTAATAACTTTTTATAATATATCATAAGAAGAAGTTAATATAATCGCTTTTCGAGAGAGTATTTTAAGTATAATACTATAGAAGACTATATCTTTAAGACGAATATAAGAAAGTTAAATAAGGCTTTTAATAAGTGCGATATTTAGATAGATTTTAAAGACTAAACTATATTTACTATTATTACTACTATCTTAGAGTTATTAAAATCTTTATCTATCGCTATTAAAACTTAAATATCTTTAAATCTATCTTAAAGCCTCTAGTTAAAGTATTAGAAATCTTTAATTATATAATAATACGATATATAGTAGATATAAAATTCTTTATTACTTTTAGATACTTAATTATTTATATATTTATATTAATAATACGTTTTACCTCTACGATCTTATTCTTTTATACCGCCTTAGAGGTCTAAGACCTTTTTTATTTAAAGAATTACTTTATAACTAAATAATCTAAATCTAATTTATCTATAGAATTTAAGCTTTAAGTAAAAATGAAAGAAGAAGTAGAAGTAGACTATTAAGTAGATATTAAGATATATTAATATACTTAAGATAGCTATAATAGCTATAGAGTATATATTTAAAATAGATACACTTAAGATAAATACGTTTAAGAAGAAGATAAAATATATAATAACTATAACTAAGGCCTCGATAATTAATATTCTTATTAATATATAAACGAATATATTATAAACTAAGAAGATCTTTACTACTATTAATATAAGTGTCATGAGATGCCTTAGGGACACTCATAGGGCCACTAGCGTAGGCTTGGCACCGCACATATCTGCCTGCAGACCACATAGATTAATCAACATCTTTTACACCACACACATATATGAGTCAAACCATAATGATTCCTTAACAATTGGTAGCAACACCTTAAGATCTAATTCCACTTGATCCTATGATGTACTAGACGTCTCTTTACGAGCCACGTCTACACCACACGTTTACGCAAAGCCCACATCAACACCTAATAGTATAACGCTCTAAGCCGATCCTTCAACACACTCGCTGTCATCGAGTATCTTTTAACACCGTCCCATCGATCCTTTCACTAGGCCTGTCGATACACCATGGCTTCAAATACCTTCGACCAATCACTTGCGAGGCTTGATCAGATGATAGCAATAATCAAATCCCGCATGACTCCTACGGAGCTACAAGCACTTGAAGCATTCGATCTACTATCCTTTGACGATAAGATGGCCCAATGGGAAGCTCGATCTAGGCCTACTCAGCCAGCCACTCAGCCAACTCAGCTAGCCCCTCAGTCACCTACTCAGTCAGTCACTCAGCTAGCCACTCAGCCAGCCACTCAGCCAGCCACTCAGTCAGCCACTCAGCCAGAGCACTCAGTTGAACAAGAGGAGGAGTCACTACAACAGGCAAATGCGGAGAACACTGCGGAGAACACTGCGGAGAAAGCAAGCGACAACAAGGCCACCATCAGCAAGAACACGGCTCAGCTCTCCATAATCCCACGTCATATACTCTCCACGGTTCCACATCAAATTACCACTCAGCAGGCGGAGAACGACACTACGATTTGGCCTGCTATCTCTGCATGCCTAGACAATATCACATTGTGGTACATCACTGCAATGAGCACACAAGAGAAGGACCTACTACGTCGATCGCAGCCAATTGGACCTCTGCAGGCAAGGGTCACCTATCGGACGATGCATATTTGGACGAATTGAAACCGTCCGATGTCTTGCTCATCATTTCATCATTCGAATGGTTTCACTGCGGTAGGAGAACTCGTGGGATTCATACCACTAATCGGCCTGGTGTCTTTATTCCTTTCCAGCATTTCGAAAACTCATTTATGCATGCATACTTCTTGCCATGAGGACATGGCATTTCTCTGTTTTTTGTGGGCAATTGTCATGAGATGCCTCAGGGATACTCATAGGGCCACTAGCGTAGGCTTGGCACCGCACATATCTACCTGCAGACCACATAGATTAATCAACATCTTTTACACCACACACATATATGAGTCAAACCATAATGATTCCTTAACAATAAGGCTATTTATTTTATAGAATCCGTTATAGATTCAGCTAATCGTATTTTTAGCTACTACTTATTAAAGATTATATATCTTACTATAAAGTCGATAGCTTCTTCTCTTTCGCTCTTAGCCTTCTCTCTTTTAATCTTCTAAAGAGACTTTCGCGAGTCTATATTTATAGCGTTTTAATTATAAACTTAGAAATTATATAATCTAATAAAAGACTAATAGATTAATATATTCGATTTATTATTTACTATAGTCTTACTTTAAAAAGACTATTAAGTATAATTTATATTATAATACTTATTAGAGTAATCGACGAAGTATTAGTTATTCTTATTTCTATAGCGAGTATTATAATATTATTAATAGTTAAGTAGCTCTTTATCGAAGTTATTAGTAGTCTAAAGTATATTCGCTTTAATTCTTACTCTATCTAGTAGTTTATTTATTTAAATAAGTCTATTAATTAATATAAATTCTTTTATTAATATAGATATAAACGTAGATTTTTATAAAGACTTATTAACCTTAGCTGAGATCTCGATCTTTACGATTAATTTAGGCTTTTAATTATCGACTTTCTAAGTAATAACTTTAATAGTTTTATTTTATTTAGCCTCGGAAAGATTATTAATTAATTATAAGATTTATATAACTCTATTATAAATAGAACGTATATTAATTATATAGTTAACGAGTTTTCAGCTCTTAAAGTAACTATCTCTTTTCTTAATTATCTTAATAAGTATTTATTTAAATAATAATATACTAAATACGTTAAGTCTTTAAACTTCGAGGTTTATAGATTATTTTAAACGCTTATTAACTCGTAGAGTAGCTAATAGATTTAAAAATAGGTTATTAGTCTATTTCTTTATTTTTAATTTCTCTATATTTAAAGTAATCGGCTCGTTTTAAATAATTCTTAATCGGCGCTCTTTAGTAAGACGACGTCTAGCCTTCTCTTTATCGTATTTAACTATCTTCGCCTTCTATTCTTTCTTCTATCGTTATTACTAAATTTTAACTCTATTTATTATTATAATCTATTAAGCTTATATATTTTTTAAAATTATATATTTATAAACGACTTTAATATAAGAGTCTTTAAGTTTAAAAGCGAGGGTAATTATATTTAGCTAATTATTACTAAGATCTAATTAGCTATTCTTAATAATCGCTTAGATATAAGAGAATATCTTCTTAGATCTCTTAGACTATCTAGTCGAAGGGAAGATTAATAAAAAAGAAAAATCCTAACTACGTCGATTAGAAGATATTTCGAAATATTAAAGTAAAATACTAAGAATCGACTAAGTGAGATATATAAGAGCTTTTAAATATAATAAGGAAGGTGGTAGAATATAATATGGAAGAAGATTCATCTACTCAATACTACTTTTAGTGGGGTGTGTGTGAGAATCTCAGTGCCAAGTATTCCAACGTTTTCTGCACACGCTAATTCGTGAAATTTGATTGGTCCCGCATTCCCGCACATTCTAAGCTCCGCGAAAGAAGCTGGACAAAAACAAATTCCGGGACCAAAAAATTTCCACTACAAATAGCAAGGTGATACTTTCATCTGAGAAAAATATAATTGTAGAAAGACATCAATCATCTCAACTGCACATAAAATCAGGTTATTGTCTGGTTTTTCAAAATCGACTTCTCGCAAGGGTCTTTTTCTTCGACTTTAATGCAGTATGGCTTCCAACAATGAGTATCAAACTCCATTCAACTCGCGATACTGTACCGGTACGTAGGTACCGAGAATGATCTTTCCTATTTGGTACTGAAGTGGGTCGCAAGACATGTTTCGGGAGCAAAATGAGCATTTCTAACTCCCGGGACCTGTCTTGCAAGCATCATATCAGTCTACCATAGAAAAGCAACGCTGACCCCCAATCGTGCCAGAGGAGATGAAGCAGCTCTTCTCCCCTCGGAACCGCTTCTCAACATGGAGACGACTTTGGGTTCGTCTGACTCCACCTTTTCAGCACGTCTCAGGATGCTTGCTTCCTCAAAATTAATCAAAAGATAGACTTGGCTAGCGGAAGCAGAGAAAGAGCTTGGGCTAGCAGGCATTTCAGATCAGGCCTTGGCCGAAATGCAATCTCATATAATTATCAGAGACGAAGAATTCGCGCTGATAGAGGTGGAAGAGAAGAGGAGGCGACACGACGTAGGATGCCTCGAATAACATATCTATTCATCTAACCGATCTGTAGGTGATGGCCCACGTTCATGGCTTCGGGTTGGCCGCGCCTAGTGCTGCAGGCATCATTCATCTGGGAGCCACATCTTGGTCCGCCTTGCATTCTATGAAGATTGAACGGATCCTAACCAAAGACAGCTACGTAACAGACAACGCCGATCTCATTTTCCTGAGAGATGGACTCGACCTTCTCTTACCAAAGCTTGCCACAGTAATAAAGAAGCTGTCAGACTTCGCCCGCAAATATCGAGACCAAGCATGCCTTGGATACACCCACGGCCAGCCGGCAGCATTGACCACCGTGGTATGTATCTTTTCCGAACAAAACCCTCCTATTCCAGACCATTATTGGAGTTGCGAGACATGATCCAGGAGCAGGATGCTTTTGCCTCCTGTTCCGAACCATTATCTGGTTTCAAAGACATGGTTCGGGAGTAAAGGACGCTTGATACCCCTTCCGCCTGTGTCAATGTTCGGGTTCTTGTCTTGAAGAAGTAATGCTGACTCCGAAATCATTATAGGGAAAGAGAACATGTCTCTGGATTCAAGATCTTTTAATGGATTTAAGGAACATTGAGCGTTCTAGGTCAGATCTTCGCTTCCGAGGCGTCAAAGGGTAGATTTCGCGGTGCAATCAGCTCCCCAAGTTCGCTAATGCATCTCCAGGGCTACTGGCACGCAAGGCACTTTCCTTTCTCTGTTCAGAGGAGACCATTCTAAAGTAGAGGAGCTCGACGAGCTTGTTACGAAGAAGGCGGGTTTCGAATCAGTCTTCACCATCAGCTCTCAGACGTACTCTCGCAAGATCGATCTCGACGTCTGCAACTCTCTTGGCTCGTTCGGCGCGACAGTGAGCAATTTGTCCAGTCCATACCGCTTTCTGATCCATGTCTTGTGTTGCAACCACTGACCCAGAAAACCACCAGTGCGAGCGCATTTTCACAGACATCCGCCATTCCGCAATGATGAAAGAAATCGAAGAACCGTTCGAAACAGATCAAATCGGAAGTTCCGCAATGGCGTTCAAAAGAAATCCCATGCGCTCCGAGCGAGGATGCGCGCTCGGACGGAAGCTGCAGAACCTGCCAATGGACGCTATGGCTACGTATGCTCATCAGTGGTTCGAACGAACGCTAGGTAAGTGACCAGTCGATTATTCCATCCGCTGGTAGGGTGTACATTTCAGGTGTATGACTCATTAAGTTTCGGTGTACATTTCAGGGGTCCATTCCTACTCTTTGGCATAGAGCGCAGGACTGAATCCCTGGATTGCACACCCTGCCAGGGGATAGGATGAGGGCTTTCGGAATCTGACAAGGTCTACTACAGATGATAGTGCAATCCGAAGAATTAGCATTCCGGAATCATTCCTTTGCGCTGATGCGTTGATGCTACTTTTGGACAATGTATGTAATGTAGTAGCACGCATACCTAAGAGCGACATATGCTAATCATTGTAGGTAATGTCCGGTCTTGTCGTGTACCCAGCCGTCATCGAGAGGCGAATAGCCCAAGAACTTCCCTTCATGGCTACGTGCGTCCAGTTTCCCCAACCCGCACCCCAGAATTCTCAGCACTGACCCCTTCCGCAGCGAAAACATCATCATGGCCCTCTCCGAAGTCGGCGTCTCCCGGCAAGAAGCCCACGAAGAAATCCGCGTCCTCTCCCACCAAGCTGCCGCGGCCGTCAAAATGGAAGGCAAGGACAACGACCTACTCGACCGTATCCGAAAACAAGAGTTCTTCAAGCCGATCATTGGACAGCTGGATCAATTGCTTGAACCCAAGAGTTTCTACGGTAGGGCACCGCAGCAAGTGGATAAATTCACAGGGCCTGGTGGCGAAGTTGAGAGCGCGTTGGCGAAGTACGAGGATGTGATTCGGAAAGGGGGAAGGGTGGATTTGAATGTTTAGGCATGTGGTATCTGTCTCTTTTAGAGAACTGTAGTAAGGGTTCAGAACCCCGAATGGTGTTCCAATAAAACACTTGAACTCTATGAGGTAAGAGCAAGCTCATAAGCTGGGATACGTTGACGGACGGCCAGGGCGCTTGCTCGCCAGAAGAGAGCTGGGCAGATGACATGAATGAATCAAGATGTGAGAAGAGAGTAGCGAGCTACACGTCTATCACAAAATTGCTACAACGAGAAGTTGGGAGATCTTCGCTCGCGGTCACAAATGTTTTCGCTCATGTATTCTCGCATACGGGATAGCGGTCGGTAAGGATATTCTTCCATCGACACTCCAACCTTGATGAAGCCCACTTCTCTTCCACTGACACTCCACACTTTGTGAAGCCCACTCCTCTTCCACCAACACTCCAAACTTTGCCAAAACCCAAACACAATTGACATTTGTGGTGTTTGTCATTGTGATGGCTGTGAGTCGACTTGCCAAAATATCTGCAGTTCGAGGTGATAGCTAACTCGGTGTTCTCGGTAGCATCCTCCGCAAGCAAAATCAAACTGCAGTATGTCTTAAGACCGGTCCTTTTTTTACGTGTGCTGACTATTTTCAAGTGCCCTTGGATCGAAGTGATGCGGGAAGATTGGCCTGCTTGGGTCAAGTCCTTACACGATAACGAAAGTCGTGACAAGAGCGCTCTTGGCGTCTGGACGGATCCAAAGAGCATTCAGCACCATGATGGTGCGCGATGTGAACACTGTGTTTCTAGGGATCGCGAGTGTGTGGTGCGGCCCTCTGGGAGGATAGAAAAGGTGTGCTCGTTGTCTAAAACTTCAAAGACTTTGTTCTTTCCAGCCGTATGTTCCTGTCTCCCGTTCCTGATGGCAACGCTAATCCTCGGCTTTATTCCAGTAAACAAGAAAAGTGGCAAAGAGACTTACCCTCCAGAACCAATCTCGAGATTGTCATCGATGAGGCCCCGCGGACCTCCAAGAGGTTATGGATTGAGGCTTCTCGAAATCAGCCTAGAATTTGGACAGTAGGGGAGACTCATTGCCCAATCATGAAATGTTGATTTCACAAACCTAACAGCATCCGTGCAGATAGTCTTCTCAGGCATGTTGAAACGCATGGGCTGTTCCGTCAGGATTCTAGGTTGGGAATTATTTGATAAGGTCCGTTGCCCACTCCCAGGCTGCAACTCCAAGAAATCCGCAATGGATCTGGAACAACATGTTCTGTATATGAAGTGCGCAACGAGTCCAACGCAATTCCATGTCCCCACTTCGACTGCACAGATAGCCCACGTCGCTACACGCCAGGGCAAGCTGGCGACCACAACGGGAACTCCAATGGTCCGAAGACCATCAAGTGCGTTCTTACTGGTTGTAAAAATTTGGATGTGCTGTACAATGTGAATGGTCACAACTATCATATCTCCACTCACCATGTTGAGCTTTCTTGTCCCGTTCCAGACTGCGGGATTCTCATCCACTCACGGACGCATATGCGACTTCATTTATCCACATTTCACGGTGTCAAATCGACGATGGAAAATGTTGAAGCTGTTGCCTCTTCATTAGTCAACGCTGACTATCACGGCCATTAAAGAACCAAAATCCGAGAAAGCCAAGAGAACGATGCTATAACAGGGAACGAACGTCAAGTCGAACGTTTCATGCAGGATGGAGTGGACATTTCAGAAATCAATTCAGCCGGAACCGCGTATTGTCAGGATGAAGCGGCGCTGGACGATGACATCGAACATGAGGAGGAAGAGGACGAATTTGAAGAAGAAGAGGGCGAGTATGAATCAGGAGAGGAAGCTGTTTCGACCGTCAAAGACAACCTTAGTATTCGAACGATAATTGACTGCACAATCTCGGTAGGAAAAACTCGGTCGGACTTTCTGGCGTCAAAAATCACATCGACTGACGAGATTCTTTAGTGTGGATTTAGCACTGAGGCCCGCCCTATATATTAAAGAATATAGTGCCAAACTTATGGGTAAGAGATCCCTAAATCTCGGGTAGTAAAGTTGCTGATGTGAGGTCTGAATCAACGGGGACTAAACGATCCATCCTACTTTAGCTCGCAATATAGCTCTAGCACCTAAAGTATGCTATGGATCAGGTTCGCTGAAGTCTTGTCAGGTTCAAGGGCTTCTCAGAGGAGCCTTTGTCTCTGGAGACGGCGAGAATCATCAGATGTACTAGAACGGGGGCCGATGGGTGTCTTGAGCGGCAGCTGCGTCTCGATGATCGCTGTTGGCGGTGCAGCGCACTTATCAAGAAATGAGGCGAGCTAAAGAAAGGGGGAATATTCCCCGAGAACGTATCTCGATTGACCGAATGTGCCCGATATGGCTGTTCCGAGGCCCCATAGATTGGGACCAAATACTGCTGCGATCATCTCACGAGTGCTATGTAATGGACGCGCAAGACTTAGGAAGTTTTTTTGAAAAGCTTCTACCGCCGCCGAGATGCGCGAAAGGCACGAGACAAGAAAAGGCTTCCGCATGCAAATCCAAAGACGGGCTCCCATATCGATGAGCCAGCAGATATGCTCAACTTTTTCATGTTCCAAGATTTGGAAACGATAGAGCCTTTCATGGCGACTTCCTAGGCTCAATTCTGGACGATCTCAGGCTGGATCAAGGCCGTGTTTCCCGCAGATAGCTACTCCAACTCTATGGTTCCAGGGGGCTTCGAGGTTGCTGCAAGCCAGATTAGTGCTGGTCGTCCCTGTGTTTCCGGATTTCTGAGCATGAATTATAACTCGCCATCGTAGAAAACCCTGGACACACCCCTCACTTCGTTGCATATTGTCGTTGCCTTAACAATTTCGTAGTCAGTATCTCTCTTTTAATGAAGATAAGTGAGCTCCGACACACGTCTGAGGAGCAAGAACTCCCAAGACATGTCTCACGACTCAAAATTAGGTCAGGATAAGAAAGATTTCAACAGAAAACAGAACGTACCACGTCCCTTACAAAATCCATTGGAAAGCAGTACGCCTCTGCCGTCATGAAGTCTTTGGAAACAACAGCCCGCAGAACTATGCATTGCTCATATGATCTACGCAGATTTCGGATTCAGTACAGCCATTTCGGTGCAGCAACCGGAGTTGCAAGACTTACCTCTGGTCACCTACAACTCCAACCGCTCTTACTCCACCCAGAATCGCGGCAAAAGCCTGGGAAATGCTGGTGTACAAGCCTGCATTTTGAATGGCGTCGAGGAAAATCTTGTCGGCCTGCCTAACGATCCGTAACTGGCTTTCTGTGACTTCCCCAATAACCCTGAATAAAGGTTAAAAGGGTTCATTTCGTGGTCTTCTTGCTCTGCACAAACCTAACGCCAAGTCCAGGGCCCTGAATGAATCAGGAGTCAGTAGTTCTCCTTTAAGATGGTTTTAGATTCAGAACACATGTCTTAGGATGCAGAAAAGATCTCCGGCTCCCAAAACATGATTAAAAGGGGAGTATTTGATATGAGAAAATGTCTTACTGGAAATGGATGCCGCCAGACAAGATTTTCTGGTATACCGAGTTTCATCCCCAACTCTCGTACTGGTTCGGACTTTAGCCTGACTGCCACCGAAGCAAGGCGAGAGATTGTTACCCTCATCCTTGAAGCACTCCCTTAAAGGCTCGATAAGTTTGAGACCCATTACCGCAGGTAAACCTTTCAAAGTCAGTTGAGGTCCCCCAGTAACCTCAAACGACTCTCTTACCGCCCACATTATGGTGTGTTTTTATGGTTTGAGACGGGCCTAGATAGGTATTAGCAGGTCGCAGGTATCCCAAATTGAGGTGCTTGGGTTATTCGAAAGCGCGTGCCAGCCCAAAGAACCGTATCATTAACAGCTTATGAGAGCTTATCACCTCGAAATGCTATGCTTTCAATTACGTCAGGATACAGAGTTCCTTGTAGCAGCCATTCGATGTCGCCGGCTTTGGACGAGTTTTTGGCTTCTTCTTCCATCTTCTTAGCCGTTTCCTGGAAGACTTCGATGAAACTAAATGATTTCGGAGTCAGAATGTCTCTTTTGGGACGATGTAAGAGTGGTGAAACAGGTCTCGGGAATTCTTCCACTCCTAAAACAAGTCCCTTACTTTCTTCCGATTATTTTCCGCTTCTGCTCTGGGTCAACTACACCAATTAATTGATCCAGAAAGCGCTGGCTTGCATCCACCACTGTCAGTTGTATACCAAGTGATTCTGTAAGCGTTTTTTGTACTTCCTCCACTTCGTTATGTCGTAGGAGCCCGTTGTTCACCTTTGAGGGAGCCTTGTCAGCGTGCAGCATTTGTATTTCCACTCAATTCACATACTAAAACCGCATGAAACCTATCGCCAATTGCTTCATGTGTGATCTTTGCAGCCACAGTGGAATCAACTCCCCCAGATACGGCGCCTGGCACATATCAGCACCGTGAAGTCCTTGCATATGTCGTGGAGACGTACCGATGACTTGGCCCTTTTTCCCAACCAAATCCCGTATCCTTGCAATCTCCTTTCCCACAAACTCATCCATCGTCCAATGCTGCCTGGCCTCGCATATGTTCACGGCAAAGTTCCTGAGTAGCTCCGTCCCTCGAGGAGTGTGGGTGACCTCTGGGTGGAACTGTATACCGAAATAGGGCTTTGTCTCGTGTGCTATACCGGCAAACGGGGCATTAAATGTTGTGGCAATCGTCAAGAACGATTGGGGGAGATGTGAGAGCTTGTCGCCTTTAAATTTATGAGCTGAGATGAGTGGCAGAATCCCCGGAGTCTGACTTGCCGTGACTCATCCAAACCTCTAGCTCGCTTCCGAGCCCTGAAAACAGGCGATCGACATGGACTGCTACTCCTTCATGCTGCTTGACATCAAGCTTTGCATGTCCGTACTCACGCTTCTCTCCTGCCACAACATTCCCTGCGAAATGCCAGGCGATTGCTTGAAGGCCGTAGCAGATGCCGAGGATCGGAACGTCGAGTTCGAAAACAGCTGGATCAACGGTTGGAGCACCTTTTTCATAGATCGCATACGGTCCACCAGAGAGGATGATTCCTGTTGCCCTTAAGTTCAAAGCGAGTACAGAATAATTCAAGGGATTAGACCCACCCTTTGGTTTCCACGAGAGTTCGAGTACCTTGGCCGTGCAGGGCAGTAATTCAGAATAGACATTGAGTTCGCGCAGTCGTCGGGTAATCAAATGGGAGTATCTAAGCAGTCACAATCACATGTCAGTAACTACCGCCGTTTTTGAAGATTGCTACCGGTAACAGTTATGGTAAGGCAGGAGAGTTTCAGATTGGTAGCGTACTGGCTACCAAAGTCCTATGAAGGTTTCGGGATCAGTATCGCTTCTTCCAGATAAAATCCTAAGCAATGAGATAGGTCAAAGGGGCATCCAAAGCCTTTTGCTCCCAAGACATATCTTGAGACTTAAAAAGAGGTCTTCAGTAGGGAAGAATTCTCTCTGATACATACAAGCACCAGAATAGTATCGAATGTTTTGTTTGGAGGCTCGGTCGCAGTCTTCTCGTTGATTGCCATGGCTTGTAGCCTAAACACCGGACAAATTGGCAGGGAAGCAAGCTCGTGGCCGGCAGAGAAAGAGAAGTCTTGCGAATATGTTTGTAGTGGGAAGAAAGGATGGACTGAAAAGATCTATGGAAGCAGACTCCAGATAATATTTTTCACCAAGCTACACTAAGGTATGCTGTATAAAAATCACTTCTTATCGCACTTCTCCTAATCTAAGGTCTCTGCTCGTTTTTGATTCAGAGTGGGACATGTTTCCACAAATTCAAATTTGATAATTCGCGAGAATTTGAGAATTCAATGATCCAAATCCTTATCGATTACTCGTAGGTACGTAAAGTACCTTAGGGCTGCAGGCTTGGCAGGGCAGATCGGCAATTTTTGGAGGAACGAGAAACCAGCGGGCAACATCACCCATCTCTATCGTTTGCGCAACGAATAATGGCGAAGCGCAAAGAGATCGACAACAACCGGGGGGGAGAGCTTAAGCCCGAGGAGAGTAGCTCTGAAGAGAGCAGTAGTGACGATGTACGGACATAGTCTCCATGTCTCGCCCATGCGTCTAGCCTGACTGTTACTCAGGATACAAACATGCTCGACGTGGAATTCGAATGGTTTGATCCTCAGCCGGAGCACGATTTCCATGGTCTCAAGACATTGCTGCGCCAACTCTTCGACGTGGATGCGCAGTCCTTCGATCTCAGCGCCCTGGCCGACTTGATTTTGGCGCAACCTCTGCTGGGATCTACTGTTAAAGTAGATGGGAATGAGACAGACCCATATGCCTTTCTCACGGTCCTCAATCTCCATGAGCACAAGGTACTTAGGAGTCTACGATTTAATGAGCCAAGATCTAACAAAGCAATAGGACACGCCAGTCATCGAGAAAATGATTACCTACATCAGAGCTCAAGCCAAGCGCACTGGAGCCCTTTCAGAACTGGATGACCTCGTGGAGAATGCTGCCAATGCCCGTATCGGACTCGTGCTGACAGAAAGACTTGTCAATATACCATCTGAAGTAGTACCACCAATGTACAAGATGCTATTGGAAGAAATATCATGGGCAATTGAGGAGAAGGAGCCATACGATTTCACCCACTATCTCATCTTGTCGAAAACCTATAGGGAAATTGCTTCGGCGCTAGATGAAGAGGACACGCCGAAATCAAAGAAGCAGAAGAAGGCTAGCAAGAAGGGGGCTTCGGAGGTTTTCTACTTCCATCCTGAGGACGAGGTTCTTCAAAGACATGCTTTGTGTTCTGGTAGCTACGAATACTTGGTGGAGGGCGCCAAGTCAGATTCCAAGAGGACGTTTCAGGAGCTTGGAATCAAGCCAGAAGGACACATGATCCTAATAGTAGCCAACAAGTTTGAAGCAGCTGTGAAGGGGCTTCAAGAATACTTTTCTCAGAGCTAGGATGGGCGCTTCGGTCCCTTGAGCCATGCGTTGAGGCATAGGCTTCGACTTTTGAACATCTACTCCCATTCTGTTCCTTTGAGCCGCTGCATAAGGTATTCCACCTCCACTACCTTAGTCAATGGTATCACGGTTTCCTGACTGTATCAGCAGTGAAATATAGAAAGATGCCCTAGCGATTGGACGAATCCTTCTCACCTCGTACATCGCAACCACGGCATCCACATTGATTTTCCCCCCACCCTCAGCACCTATACTTGGATCTGTCCCATATGTCCTCGCCTTCAGCCCGAGTCGTTCCAACACTTTCTTCTCGACCTTGGCATTAGTGATAGCTGCATCAATTCCCTCACGGTCCTCTTCATGTATCAACTTTACAAATCTCTCCGTTTCCTGTTGGAATTTCGATTCGGCTACGAACTTCCCAAAGTGAATCCTCCGCGACAAGGCTTGCAGACATGCCACATCACATGTCGCAGCAGATCCATAGTTCTCTTGCTTCTCGCCGCGGTCTTCTCTCCCAAATTCTCTACACACTCTGGGCAGAACCACCTCAATGTACTTCTTCTTGATGGTCTGATTGACATCAACATTGTTGGGATGCAAAATCCTAGGGTAATCTAAGGGCTGCAGAATGGGTGTTTGAGTTGCATCAGGGAAGAAAGGGTACTCGTCCGGAGATTCATAGCGGCGGATGAGTGACTGCAAGCGCTCTTGTTCTCTGAGCATCCAGTCAAACAAGCTGAGAGGACTACCGGGGATCTTGACCCCGCCCGGCTGGTAGATGGTTGGACTTAAAGGAAACTGAACACGTTCTATGAGATGGAACGTTATGGTGTCCTCTAGGCGACTGAAATGTGAATCAGTCTTCAAGAATTCCTCCCTTTAGAATATGCAGGTCTCCTTGAGATCTTACATCAATTGAAAGCGTATATTTGCCAGATCGAGTGCCTTCGAAGCATCCGAAAGATCAATTGCGGTATCCATAGTGATAATTCAAGTGGGACATGAAATTGAGGAGGAGTATTCTTGTATACTCAGAATATCGGAACGGACTGGGTCAAAGCTTGTAGGATCTTGCTCTAGATGAAGATCTCAGATGACTCGACTATGGCTCCGAGCCTGCACACATCCTTGACGAATTATACATACAGAGTCGAATAAAGGTATCCATCACAAAAAGAAAAGCGAAGAGGACCGCAGATCATCGGAGATCATCACTCCCTCGAACTGTAAGGTACTTTAACCTGAGGATTGATATCCAGCCCTACAGACTTGGCGGCAGCAAGTATTGCCGGACATCAGATGCTCTGCTTTGGTCGTGTGCCAGCGTTTCGGTGTCCCTGTCAGCTTCTTTGTTCATGCTCATTTGTTTGAGATTTTCGGAGAGGCGCTGTATACGATCGCTTCCATATTCCGTCCTTGGCCTACGTTGACACCATCCCACTGAATGGCGAGCCGCGATGGCTCTCCAGCGCGTCATCGAAGGACGGCGTCTGAGGAGAGCGGCATGCTGGGGACAGCCTTGACGGTACCATGAATTAGCCCATTAACTCGTATTCTGCTCAAATCTGACGCCTACGCCTACAGACTCGACATATCGAAGCTTTCGGGCGAAAAGTAACGACTACAGCAACCCACCTCATAGGCGACCCAGAGAGTAGCGTCCATTACCAGCATGCCATGAGCGCGCTGCAGAAGGAGCTACGGCGGCCAGGCATCCAACAACGGGTCTTCTCGTACGCCAAAGCCTCCCCGACAGAATTGGTCCGGTCCAAGTTATCTACCACAGAAATCCAGCATCGAGCCCTCACCTACCTACCAGACGAACTTCTTGCGAATATTCCCGAAGACGAGAATGTATACTCTCTATTTCAAGGCTTCCAGGCCACTCTACCGGAAGGTGAAAGTGAACACAGGAAAATGCACAAAAGGCGTAACTCGAGAGGGCAGAAACTACTAGAGGCCGATGATGCAGAGGACAAGACACCGCTGGAGAAATTGAAGAAGGAGAGGCATGGGCTGAATCACCGTTTGGAGATGATGGGTGTCAGGAAAAACATGTGCTCGTCAGAGATCCGGGAGATCGATAATAAGATTTCAAACCTGAACACTATGCGGAAGATTGTTCTAGAGAGGCTTGGAGATTTGGAGCAAGATGAGGTACGAACGGAGCAGGATCTGCTCGAGGTGGATAACAAGCTCGAAGATCTACTGGAAGAGCTGGATGATGCAGCTACATTAGGCCACACAACAGTGACACCACCCACGGAGATGGACATAGAGACTGAAGTCACAACCACGGGTACCCAAGACATGAGCGCCTCCTTCATGTCTGCCTCCATCTACGAGAAACTTCCCTCTCCCAAAGCAAAACGCAACAAACCCACCCGCCGGAAATCTACACCTATCAGACACGAACATTTCGAGCCTGGATCCGCCATCAAGGAATTCCAAGCCCATAACGACATGATCACAGCCCTTGATTTTGATGCTCCTTTTGGCACCATGGTCACCTCCGCCTTAGACGATACAGTGAGAGTATGGGACCTCAACCTTGGCCGATGCATCGGACTTCTAGAAGGCCACCAGGCCTCCGTCCGCTGTCTGCAAGTCGAAGACAACCTGGTAGCGACTGGCTCCATGGACGCATCCATCCGGCTCTGGGACCTCAGCAAAGCAGAATACTCCCCTCGCGAAGACACAACAATAGAAGAGGAGGACGAAGATCAACCTGCTTCAGACAACGTCGATCGTCCAGCATCCCCACATACCTCAAGCATGCAAGACTGCCCCCTCTTCACCCTTGAAGCCCACGTCGACGAAGTAACGGCCCTCCATTTCCGCGGCGATACCCTCGTCTCCGGCTCCTCAGACAAGACCCTCCGCCAATGGGACCTAGTGAAAGGCCGCTGCGTCCAAACCCTCGATGTCCTCTGGGCTGCCGCTCAAGCATCCTCAACCATGAATACTACAGACGCCAAGTGGCGCGCCACGGGCCGCATCCCTGATGCATCAGCAGATTTTGTGGGAGCCCTGCAGTGCTTTGATGCAGCGCTCGCGTGTGGGACAGCGGATGGCATGGTTAGACTTTGGGATTTAAGAAGTGGACAGGTGCATAGGAGTTTAGTGGGACATACGGGGCCGGTTACTTGTTTGCAGTTTGATGACGTGCATCTTGTGACCGGGAGTCTGGATCGGAGTATAAGGGTAAGCCACGCTCCACATCCTTTCTACCTCCATCATCATCCTTTTCCAATGCTCCCGGTGCCCCGAAACCTTCCCCCGCACGGGGCGCACGGGGAAGAATAATCCCATCAGGCCCATCGGGGCACAGGTCCCATCCAGAAACACTCGCCGCTAACATGACTCAAGATCTGGGACCTCCGAACCGGCTCCATCCACGACGCCTACGCCTACGACAATCCGGTCACGAGCATGATGTTCGACCCTCGCCGCATCGTGGCTGCGGCCGGCGAGAGTGTGGCGAAGGTTTACGACAAGACGGATGGGCGGCATTGGGATTGCGGGGATGAAGATGGGAAGAGCAGTGTGGAGAGGGTGAGGGTCAAGGATGGGTATTTGACGGAGGGAAGGAGGGATGGGGTGGTGGGGATTTGGACTTGCTGATTGGTGCCGGAAGAGGGCTGTATGTACTTACCGTAGCAGTGGTGGAATGCTACGCAATGGAAAGCTGCCTCCTCATGTATGGGGGCCTTTTCGATTGGGTAACGGCAAAATATTCTCGCTTTGGAACCTCAACTGCTTCAATTTCTCCCTTTTTTTGGGTAATGCGTCTATGCCAAACGGTACAGTGCACGCTTTTGTGGTAACTCATACATATCATACACAATCAATTCATCCAATCAACTTCCATCAAGTGACCCATCCTTGGCACCTTTATGATCCTAGCCCTGCATGTGTTCGCCCTCGGATTTTGATTTTGGAAAGCGAATGTGGAGAAATCCAGTCGTCATTGCGACGATCCAGTCATCTGCGACAAAAAGCCGGACCAGAGGTTGGTTTGTTGGGGGGTTGCAGAAGGAACAATAAGGTTTCGGAATGCCTGCCGCCGATCTGTGCTTGAGATATGTTCTAGGCGCCGCCTCCATGTTGGAGGAGGATTTGTGGCTTGAAGTCAGTACCCGAGTGTCACTGTGTCGTACTCGAGAAGAGCGCCACGACTGTCTTTAGTGACACCAAGGACCAGCCTTCAATGTGGTGGTGTTGGTTTTGCAGCGAGAGTTCAGATCCTTGAAGAATAACATGGATGTCACAGATTTAATGTGTGTCGTAGGTTATGATGCTATGGAGCCGTGTTGTTCATTCATGGCGCAAACGGACATGACGCACTCGTGTCAGGTTCGCGTGATTGTGCAAAAGGACATGACCCTGAAGGATTGGTGGTCGGCGATGCGCGGAGATCATGCTTGTCGGTAGCGGAATCCTCTTCCCTTAGCCAGGCACAAACTCTCTGGCCCCAGGTTGGCCGATTCTTGTAGATACCGAATTTCTCAGGCATAGAGTCACATGCTTCAGCAAGCGTGAGGCCGGACCCTTCTTCCCTGATCTCAGTCAATGGGGTCAGATAGCTGCGAACGGCGAAGACGATGGTTCCAGTGCGTGGGAGGCAGGTAAGAGTGTGATGCTCAGCGCGCAGAAAGGAAGCGGAAGGATCGAATTCGGCCTTAGCGCATGGACTGTCGTCTGTTTTGATAGTATTTGCGCCGTCGAATGGGAGAAAAAGTTGGGAGTGATTGCTCTGAATGGCCCACTAAATCAAGTTGGATTAGACTTCCTCCGTTTGAAACAGGGAGCTGAGCGTACATTCAACCGTCCAACCGACTGTCCGCGCTCCATCCTCTCGAAGCATCGGTTCACACCTTTCTTCAAGCGGCCTTCGTAGCCCGGCACAGGCTTATGAATTTCGCTAACTGACATCCCTACTTTTGCAGAAGGTAGGAGACCCTGCGGAAAACATGCGACAAACCCTTGAAGCACAAATTCATCTTGCGCGTCTGGAACCATAAAGTAGAAATCCTCTTCTACATTCTCTGCCAGGTGCCGAAGCATGCTCGCATGATCTTGTAGTGCTGACGAAATGCAATGCCGCGTGCCGTTGGCGAGGTTGTGGAACATATCGCCTTTGATTCCGAACATTGATGGGAATCGTTTGGGAAGTAAGTCTAGCATGATTTCTTCGTAGAGCTCGCGAACAGCGGGATTGGCTGTCTCGCTGGTTCCCACGCATATATCTGTATGTTCTGCCAACAGCTTTTTTCGCAGAGCTGTCCGTTCCAGATAGTTGCGGTCGATCCTGATCCAGTCCTGCTTAGTGGATTTCTTAATTCCTTGTGAAAAGGTCAGTATCTGCAAGACTTGACAACCGTGACACAAGGTGCAACATACCCATAGTGACATGTTGCTTCTTTGCAAACGGACGGTATTTGATAGGCTCCACGGCTCTGTAATCGAAAGCATGAAGTGTTTGAATGTCTTCGACGGGTCGTGCAGTTGTGAGAACACCCTTCGACTTTCGCTGCACCTTGGAAAAATAAAGCCGTATGAAGATAGTGTATGCTCGCTCAATCAATGCTATGAATAGAGAGTAACTGATCGTAATCGAAATGAGTCTGCCTAGGAAATGCATGATGCTGAGTGGTCGTGGGCGTCAAAGGTCGATTGAACCTTGGGTTGATTGTTGTAACAGTATCACTGTATGAGTGTGGTGTGAAGCCCAGTTAGGTATTCTATGTACCGTCGGTAGACTTTGTAGTCTCGAGGGTCCCACTAGCTATAAGACTGGACCTAAGCGGGAGTGCCTCATGTAGTGCTGAGAGGGTAAAGGAGCGAATTGAGCAAAAGAGAAGTGTTTATACGATTGGTGCCTCAGACACAAAAGGAAGACACAGAAGGACCATTTTTTTGTATTGGATACCCCCATGTGTATTGCTAGCCAGACTGGGTGGCTGAAGGCTACTGCGCGACTTATGCAGCTAGGAAGACCTGCATTAGTTAATATAAAGTTCAAATTTCCGGACTATTGCCACGTGGAGTTGGAGACTCGTTAGAGTGAAATGGAAAGTCGATGAGTGTAGGTTCGAGGTGTATTCTTTCAGGAGAGCCTCAATTTGGGGGAAAAAGTCAAACGAATCGTACCAAGTACCAATGATCCAATCTTAGGATATGACAGTGCGCCTGCGGCTCGAGATGCCAGCGGTAAGGGTATGTCATCCCGAACCCTTCTTTTCACGAGGGGCCGTTGGACTTGGGGGTGTCGCTCCATGGCGTCAGCCATCGTTTCAACGTCATCTTTTGGTCCAAAGCTATTTATTATTTCAATCCCTCGCACGGGCCCACGGGGAAGTTGGAGAGGATGAGAGGGCCAAAATAGCCTCACTAAGGCTAGGTTTCGACGCGAAATTCAGGGCATAATCTCTTATCACGCTATATCAGCTCCAACCTGGTGCAACTAGGAGAAGCGACCCTGTTCCAACTGCCAGTTAACAGGAGCGCATAAGACGTTGTAAAAGTGTAATACCCACCACGAAGATCATGTCCGAAAGCGCTCGTCCTCAGTCTTCGCTCCTGTTACATATCCCTCATCCCCCGCTTCTTCCACGTGTTGTTCGCTCTCTAAGTTGGGGTTAATAAACCGGGTCGGTTGCCCCCAATCACACTACATAGAACCCCCAATGATTGTCATTTGACTTATCTGCGGTATGCAGCATTGTGCAATTCATCCCGGGTAGCGCTGCGAGCCGCTTAAGCGTGGATTTGAAACCTTAGGTGTCGTCCTCTCTTTCTAAGAACCCTGGGTCATTCTCGACCCTTCGCTCAAATTTGGTCCACCAATCCTGGAAGCTTTTCAACGGAACGACTTCCTGGCCCCCTGCCGTACTAGTTCCGGCAAAACTAGCAAGAAAGTTGAATGCATTTTTGATGATGCGCTGCGCCAACGCCTTCGTTGACAGCGGTGTTGGCCGTTGCCGCTGGTATCTGGCCGAGACGAGGGCTGTGGAGGGCACAGAGTTTGAGCCTTGTTGGGATTGAAGCTGTGATATGATCATCGCAGCTTGCTCGATCGAAATTCCAACTGTAATTTCCCTTGCAGTAGTAGCGGTACCCGTAGCGCCATTGATCGCCGTCGAGGATGCATCTACGTCGGTCATCTCTTCCTCCACAGATTCCAGACCGCTGTGCGATCCATAGGAAGCAGGACTAGTACCACTGATCCGAAATATAGCGCTCTGCTTTTCTGTTCCTAGTGCTCCAAGCAATTTGAATTCTGGTACCAGTCCAGGGAGCTGTATGTAGACGCCAGCTAATGTGCCTTCTGGGAGGGTAATCCCGGGTAATAAGAACACAACCAAATGTGAGAATGTTGGAAGAGACGAGAACGTGAAGGCATACTGCGTCTCAGAGATAACGATAGGATTTGTGAGAACCGGCCTTGAAGGAAGGATGAGGCCGAACGGCGATGTTGCAGACATAGATCCTTTACGCAGCTGGGAGGGCAAGCTACCAAACACAAGCTGTGATTCTGGACCCCGATCGAATTGAGACTGCAAGACAAAAAGAAAACCAAAAGCAAAATTGTTCGCAAAATTCAAAGACGAAAGCAGACGTGAGGAAGAAATGACGTGCCACAAGCGAGCGCTTATCAATAAGCGTGTTTACGAGCGTTTTCACCTGAAGGACAAGCAGCAAGTGCTATCAATCGATTTCTTTGCTTATCTATCCCGGGACAGTAACCTGTGATTGCAAGCTCAAACTGGTATGGTGTTTAAGCAAAGAACTTGAGCTTGATTTCACGAAAGACATGCACTCGACGCTCGGTTCAGGGAACATAAGTGCCAGAGAATGAAGACCGGTCTTGACCTTGTCAATGAGTGTGACAAGTACATTGCCCTAAAATATATTAAACATGTCAGTGCTAACGATCTACAGCTTCCCATACTATGAGAGTGATCCAGAAGAGTATAGCAGGCTCCGCTCGACCTCCTGGGAACTCCATCTCGAAGGAGGGTCCGGTCCCTACGGATACATAAAACAGTCTGTGGTGGAGAAGATGCCATGGGACCACGACGCCTGGCAAATTGACGATGAAAAGAAGTGCATTACACCTGCGCCAAAGCGTTACACCCATACTCAAGAAACTGTAATAAGGGAGACACTTGAAGTAGCCAAGACAAGAGATATCTTCCAGATACTGAGAGGCTGGCGGAACGAACTATACCCTGTCCATGGACCATATAGCAGCAGGAAACCGATGGTGAGCATGGAAAGAGCAGGCAGTGCTTTGTTTGGCATAAACACCTACGGGGTGCACATGACAGCTTACGTGAACACCCCCCAAGGTATGAAGATCTGGGTTCCGAGGAGAGCACGAAACAAACAAACATATGGCGGAATGCTGGACAACACCGTTGCCGGGGGACTCAGTACGGGAGAGAAGCCATTCGAGTGTGTGGTAAGGGAGGCCGCGGAAGAAGCATCCTTCTCGGAACAGCTTGTCCGCTCAAACGCCAAACCTTGCGGAACCGTGTCGTACTTCCACATACGAGATGCAAGAGCTGGCGGTGAGGCAGGCTTGCTGCAGCCAGAATGCCAGTATGTCTTCGACATGGAGATTGGCGCGGAGGTGATACCGAAGCCCGGCGATAACGAAGTAGAGGAATTTTATCTATGGACTGTGGACGAAGTGAAGAGAGCGTTGGCAGAAGGGCAATTCAAGCCCAACTGCGCCGCGGTGCTTCTGGACTTCTTCATCCGACGTGGGATACTGACAGCAGAGAATGAGAAGGATTATACGGAAATCGTTTCGAGGCTCCATAGGAAGCTTCCATTCCCAACATCATAGACCTTGCAAAAGATAGTTCCACTGAAAAGGCATCGATCTCTCCTCGATACCCTAACGCCAGCGCTCTACTTGGGGAATCATTCCATCTAAACATCTTCAAACTCCGACCTATGTTTCGCTAAATGACCAGACTTTTTCCTCTCCAGCCCCACTCACTCCACCACCCGCGAATGCCCGCGTCATTTCTTCATGCAAAGATAAACATAGTCTATCCTCAGCGGCGTAAGGTTCTTATACGGTCCCTCCATATAGAGCAGCAACCCCCCAAACGACACAAACACCTTTCTGCGCAACCCGCACCGCATTAGCCAGCCAGCCCCCCCTTTTTCCATCCCACCCCAAGACACAAACTCACATATTCTCATCATCCCCCTCCTCAAACCGATAAATCTTCCCATGGCACACGTAATCATACTCGTCCGCCACGCTCGCCTCCCCCCGCCCGACATCGCGCCACCCCTTGCCGTCGTCCTTGCTGCCGTCGAGCGAGAGCGTCGACGCGAGCAGGATCTGGAGGCGGTCGCCGATGGTGCAGGGGAAGAGCTCGGTGTTGACGTCGAGGGTGAGGGACGTGTCGCCGTTTTCGGTGTGCGCCGCGAGGCGGGCCACGCGGTCGTACTTTTGCGCGTTGATCGAGGTCAGGGTGAAGGTGTCGGAGAAGAGGTTCGCGTCGCCCATGCTTCGGTTGGGTTGGGGTGGAGTGATGTGGAGTGAAGTGAAGTGTAGGAGTGGGATGGGGATTGGGGGAGGGATTCTTCTCCGGCGGTGATATCTTTTGCGTGGAGCGTGGAATGTCTTGGCGCTTCAGGAGGTGGTCAAAAACGAACGGAAGGTTTTTTGTGGTGGGATACTAAACTTATCTGGGAAAAGCGTGTCTTTTTCTTAATCAAAGCCTCTACGAGAATTGTTTTGATATAATGATTACTCGTCTGATACTATTCAACATAAGTAAAAGTTACTTCCGATCAATCTCTAAATTTCAACCTTTATCATATATAAAAAAAAAAAAAAACAAATAAAACTTAATATTCTTTAAAATAAATAATATAATTATAAAACACAAAACCCAAAAATCCTCACAGAACCCTCCACAAATTTACTCGACAGCCCACAAAAAAAGTTAGAATTAATCAAGCCTTACTCGTAACTAAATAAAAAGATAAAAAATTTAAAATACATTCAAATTTCTAAGAAATAATTAAGCGTTTCGAAGAAAAAAAAAAAACAAAAATTAAATAAAGATTTATTATAAGATTCAACGTTTTACCCTGAAATCCCTAAGAATCTCCATATCAATTATTTTTCAATCTCATGATATCGTAACTCATAATCCCCTGAGTCTCTAAAACTCCTATGAATATTTTCATAAATCAAGCCTTTTTCGGAGTGGCTCAAATACATCCACGCTTTTATTCGACTTCAGTAGCGATTTCCAAAGTTCCGCTGGTAATATTCTCGGCCTTACTGTGGTGGGCGGGGTAGGTGGCTGGGAGTTTGTTTGGTTTTTTTGGTGAGAGGTTATGGTGGTATTAGGCTAAAGTAATATAAAAGATAAACTCTCCTAGAATCTAAAAATACCCAGTGAAAATATTTTAAATAGCTACTTATACCCTAATGTCTCATTAATATAAGAAATATTTATGTCAAAACTAAAAATCGAAGTCGTATCAATAACCTTTTATAATAGTGTTATAAAATACACTCTAATATACGCTTCGTATTTTATTATATACTTGATGCTCCTCCATACTCCATAGATACCCCCGTAGGCCTCCTCTACCTACCATCAGGAGGTGGCATAGCCTTTTGCAGGTTGTAGGGTACAGGTAGGGCTTGATATCGACTTGGTTTCACCTCTTGCAGCAACAGTCACCACTCCGCCACAAATTGTTCCAACGGGACCAAAGTCGAGAACTGATGGATTGAGATGTCAATGGTTGGTTCTGCAGGGTTCCTGGAATCTCAAGAATTTTGGCGTGGGAGTATTCTCATCGCCAATTTCGTAATGTCTGCCAAGATCCGGAAAGGCTGAGGCCAACCGTGTTATTCTATCATCGTTGCACGTATTGCATCATCACCCCGAGCCGATCTTTCCCACCCCTCTTTTCGGGAGCCTGACCCCAAAGTTCCTCTGTCGGGGGAAATTGGCACCGGGTCGTAAGGTTGTTACGGAAAGCACCCCTGCAGTTCTGGCAGCCTAGGTGACAGTAGTAGAGGTTGCGGATTCGGAGCCTGCCTTCGAGAGCGGCGCTCGCAAGGCCAGCGGCGTGGTTTTTAGAATGACGCGGACACAACCCCGGTTGAAGTAGACCAGTCAGAAATATCAAGACATGATTGATTTTCCTGCGAGATTGGTCTGGATATCCCCAAATGAGGTCATGCATTACACACTGCCAATTTGTCAACGACCATGTTCTGGAACTGTTCCAGATACGTCTGCAGCTGCCTCTGCTGATTGCCCGCTTCCCTCTCCCAAAGGTTGTCAAAGTCCCTGCTCAAACAAGACCTGACCGCATCCCGGTATCGCGCGCCGGTATATTGCTTCATGGCCATGATCGTGCCCTGTTCCACCATCCTCTCGACTAGCTGCGGATCCGAGTTGTGGGTAGGCAAAGACGGTCTTCTCGGATGGTTGCTCTTGGACGAGCCTTGAAAGGCGATATTTCGCCACAGGCCGATTTCGTAGAGGATCACACCCAGACTATATATGTCGAATGATGGTTGAAATGAGCGGGCGAACATACCCTTGTAATGTGGATGCCGATAAAGATCATCTTCGAAATGGGACAACGGCTTCTCTGACACCTCTCCCGGTTGGTTTGGTCTCGAGATGTCGAAGCCCATCAAATATGGTTTGCTGAGATCTGGTTCAATTCCCTCATCAGGTTTTGGCCAGAAAAGGATATTTTTCGTTTGTATGTTCTTGTGCACCCACCCAATGTTGTGAATGTTAAATATAGTCGTGACAAGTGCCTTGGCCAACTCAAACCGCTCACCCAAGTCAGGAATATCTTTACGTTGATCAGGACGCTCTACGCGTTTCAACAGATCGTAGAGCGTAACTGGTTTTTGGCCAGGTTTGGCACCACTGGGCAGCCGGAAAGCGTAGCCTGTGACATGTTGACTCTGGTTTAGATAGCCAACACAGTGTAGGATTGAGAGGCCCAACGGTTCGAGATCGCTGTTCAAGATCCTTGTCAGGTTCTCCGTCCTGCGTTGGAATGCTTTGGGATGCTTTCGCCTCCAACTGTCATCTTGGCAGCACCTCCAGTCAACGATGACGCTTTCCTCCCCATACCGAGCCATTGCTCGAATTTGATCCGTCGCATACGGTTTCTCTTGCCACTTTAGCTGGTCCATCTCGAGCCTGTATCCAGGTGACGGGGACGTTCCGATGCACTGTCCGTCGGAAGAAGGAGTGGTAACTACCATTTCTGGTGGACAATCTGGCTGCTCGCTGAGATAACCTTGCTCAATAACTATCCTCGCCGCAGCCATTAGCTGTATGTCTCGATGCTCAAGTAAGTCCGCTGCTGCCTCTAAATGCCGAAGCTGTGTGGTGTCCGAAGTCGAGAAGAAAGTTCTTAATCGGCGACGTGACGAATCCTGGTCTAATCGCGAGGTCAACTGATCAAGGCCGTTGTTCCAATGGGAAAGTTGTGTGACTAGATCCTTCATCTTTTTCTGCTTCGTCAGGACAAACTTCACTCTCTTCGTATAGTTTGAAAGCCCGTGTTTGGATGGGGACTTCGTTGACAGAGACAAGCGATTGATATATTCGAAAACTGATGCGACTTAAGCATGTGGTATCTCGTTCATGGGAGACGCTTTTTTGTTACCTGAAGATTCGCCTTGGGCTGGTAGACCCATCTGTTGGCCATAGTCATCCAGAATCTGATTGTTCTCAATGAAGGCTTCCCTGATCCTGCTGAAGATCCACTCCATCGTCCTCCATGTGGTTATGTGCTTTTGGAACAGTCTAGATCGGTTCCGTTCATCATGATACTCGGCCAAGACGTGACTTCCCCACAGCTCCAACCTTTGATGTTCAAGCAGTAGTCCCATGCGCAAGTCTTCATACTCGGATGGTACATCTTTAATCTCAAGGTACAAATCGTAAGCTGACATAACCGCGTTGTATGCCTGTATAACGCTTCCCACCACCCCTGCAATCCCCAAAGTCAAGCTCACCGGGTCACTCATATTTGCAGGACCGAGATGACTTTGGATCCTCCGCCAGCTATCCTGATAGTGATGCACTTGCTGTTGGTCTATAGAGATAAAGTATTGAGAGTCTGGTTCTATCTGAAACAAGTGTGTAGGCTTTGTTCACATATGATAGGCAACGGGTAATTCAAGGGTAACATGGCAAATATTTTTCAAATGCAGACAAGGAGGTACCTATAACATGACCCGAGTTTTCAGCCCCAAGCCGCAAGATTGGCAACCAGGGTTACCTCTAGGCTCTAGCAACCCTCGGAGCTCTAAAGATACCCGTGACGACAGACGCATGCCCGTAGCACGGACAGACGACGCATGTAAGATGATTTTGATGTGGAATGACTTCAGATTGGATGTTGCCTGGGGGCTAGAACCCAAGGCTGGCAGTGGGGCTCAATGAAGACACGATGGGGGAAGGAGAAAGAATCAAGAGGCTGACGCTGAGCTGGTGCTGCATGGGTTTTGGTTCACCGTGAGCAAGGTAGGGCATGCGCAGTCATGTCAACGAATGAGAGGGCATTAAGTCAGGTGATGCGAGGTGATAGGAGAGAGAGATGGCAGATGCGGGATTTCCAATATTGCGCCATTGCGCCCAGTTTGTATGCTACTTTACTCTACTTATGCTGCTGCCGTCTGGACCCGGCAGGACTTGAACATCGCTGCCAGCTCTTGCAGCAGTGCGAGATCGCTTGCGGTAGCTCGCTTGATTTGACGAATTACATCCGTTCGCCAAGACATCTTAAGCCATAGATAGTATAGCGTAAAATTTGACTTTCTCATCGAGCCAATGCCTCGTAAGTAAATCATGATGAGTAATGCATGATGCCTCGTTTTTGCACAGCAGCACAGCACAGCATCAGCACAGCCTTGTCTTCTCCCACTCCTTCCTAATGTAGGTATGTGAGAAACGCCAACGGGCCAAGTCTTGGCATGTATGGCCTTGTCATGCCTGCAGCAAGCCAAAGGCCTAGGGTAATGAAGACTCCCTTCGCAACGTGACAACTGACCTTCTCAATTCTCTACTTTGCTTTCACTATTTCTCCTTCACGACAATCCGACCCGCTGTCAACATGGACATCGAGACATTCACTTACTCGACCGTCTTCCCCGTTCGATCGCGGCGGAAGTCAAGTATAGTAGCTGGCGCAACACTTCATTCCGCTATCTATCCAACCTCTGCGACTATGTTACAGGATAGCTTGATCTCATTCCTCTCCTACATCAAGACCCAGAACATTCCCATCCTCCCCGTCACCAAGCCTGATATCCGTTCGGTCTTAGGCCAGGGCGCTTCCTTTCTGGTCAATGGCGCCGAGGTACCCGAGGCCTACGTGGATCCTGTCTCGGGCACTGTCTTTCCGCAGGGCATGACGGTGGCTTTCAAACGTGCTATATTGAACCAAGCAGTGATGAAAGACCCAATCGCTGGTCGTATCCACGTCATCCTCAATGAGCTGCTTACCATGCATCATCCACCGCTACGTGCACACCCAAACATTGTCAAGCTTCTTGGCATTGGATTCGAGACCGAAGGGCCTAGTGACGACCAGAGAGCAATGCCGGTTCTGATACCCGAATGCGCTGAGCTTGGCAATCTGGCGGAAGTCTTAGAGACCGCCAGGAAAGAAGATAGGCCCTTGAAGTTCGGAGAGAAGTTGTCATTATGTCTCGATATTGCGCACGGTCTTGAGATACTTCATGCATGCGGTCAGCAGATTTTATAAGTACTGATTTTGAAATGTTTTTGCCTGTCATATTGAGCGAAGCCTGCGTCCTGTTCTGCACAACCTCTCAGCTTTTGGAATCGTGACTATTACAGTTGTGAGGATTGTCAAGATTTAGACAACCCATCCGGCCCCCCTGCCTGTTCTTCCCACATGCGGATTGATTTCTCCGAGTGCGAGATCTCATGCTGACTAGCTCAATCGCAAGACATCGTACACGGAGACGTCAAATGTGAAAATGTCTTAATATTTGAGGAGCGTGATGACTCCGAACGTGAGTCCAACCCTTCATGTCCATGGCGAGATGTCTAAATATGCTTTTCAGATCTTAAGCTACTTGGGAAATTGACAGACTTTGGTGTCTTGAGGCTTGAAGATGGTGGCTTGATGCTGGGCGGCAGTCGCCCATGGCAAGCGCCTGAATTCTCTCGAACGGCCTACTTCAAGATCGAAGAGGCAAAGCGGACGGACGTTTATAGCTTCGGTATGCTGCTCTGGCGTGTCTTCCTCAACGGTGATCCTTTCAAGTCTCTAGGAGATATAGAAGGCAAGACCCCAAAGGAGAAACGGCAATCCCGAAACGATGCCATAGCCGCTTTAAAAGATGGAGACCATTTGGTACAACACGTCTGCGCTTCTCTCGCACTGTCCGAAGATTTCACGCGTTCGCAGCTCGAAATGCTTTGTGAGGTCATTGGTACTACTTTAGTAAAAGACCCATCCCGTCGAGAGCTCGATATGGCAAGAATAATAAGACTATTGTCTCCTAAGAACTGGTATGAAGCGAGGCATCCCGTCCCACCAAAACGTCTTCCTCTCGAGGTCGACGCCCATCTACTTGACATGGAGAAATGGCACTCGGAATTCGAACGAGTCAGTCCCGTGGTACAGACTCTTATGGCTCTAGGCTTTCAGGACTGTGCTCAAGGCCCATCTGAACATTCGGAGGTGGATCTGCTTGAAGAGGAGAGCGCAGCTGCATACCAGCTGGCAATCTGTTACGCGAACGGATTCGGTGTCCATTTCGAACCTGGAGAGTGCTTAAAATGGCTCCAGGTTGCGGCCGATGGTGGGTCACAAAAGGCGCAAGAAGCACTCCCTAAGGTGGCACAAGCGTTTCAAGCACATTCGACAAATTTCACCGATCCTTGGGCTAAGTCTGATGATGCCTGCTCACTTCTTAGCTCCTCATGGGCGTCTGAGTTTCCCGACACAACTCCCCCTGCCACCGAGGCAGATGGCATCATATCCCTACGTTTGAATGACGGTACCGCCTTACCTGGCGCCACATGGACTCTACTGAATGCCGCAGAAAGATGCAGGTATGATGTCCTCGAATCGTTACTGATGAGCTCCGCCAAGCCTAGTACCTCGGAGGATGGCGTTTCCCCCATTCATTTCCTCTCGTCCTGGGATGTCAGCAAAGCGGAAGGACTGGGACACAGATTGATCATGGCCGGCGCAGAAGTCAACGTTCAAGCAAAGCGTGGCCCCACTGTGGGTGGCACTCCGCTGATGTGGTCCGTCTATGGAGACCATGTCGAGCATTCGCAGATCTTGCTCAACCTTGGTGCTGACCCAATGGCTGCAACCGTCGACGGTGATGATGCTCTTTCATTCGCTGCTAAATCACATCTTACCGCCCATCTACGATTGTTACTGGAAAACGTGCGCCCATCTCAGGTGCGTGGTCATCTACGCCGACTGATTGCGGCCGCAGCTGGGGGTGAGAGTCGATTTACTCGGATTTTAAGGCACGGAAGGAGTTGGACGACAGCTGCTACGGAAACGCTACAGTTGTTACGGGATTGGAACGCCCTTTTCCCTGACGCAGATGATTTTAGAAGTCTTGTGCTACCGGCGCTGGAATCTGCTCTAAAAACTTCTCATGGTCGCATGAATACTGACGTACAGGTTGACTTTATCAAGTCGGCTAAAATAGAACCACTCTACATGCACAACCTTTTGCGTCAGAGCGTACTGAGCTTCAACAAGGAGCTCTTCGACGCTGTTCTTGATTATGGTGTGCCAGTATCCACCCTCTTCGAGCGGAAGAAGGGTCTTCTGCATCTTTGTGCAAAGATTCCAGATCATAGCGTTGCGGCTACAGAGTTCGCTCCCCGTCTTTTGGACTTGGGCGCGGAAATCGACGCAACGGACGAGGATGGCATCACTCCGTGGATGTATGCGATTCTCGAGCGCAAGTGGGATCTGGCGGATCTACTAATGAAGAGGGGTGCAAATGCTCTAGCCACCGACAAGGTCGGCTTCAACGTTCTTGGTCTTTGCATCACTTCTCTCAACCTGGGAGCTATCAAGTACCTCATGAAGTACTGTGAACAAAAACAAAAGTTCCAACAGGATTCCTTCTTGATTAACAAAGAGAAGCAAATCAGCGCACTCCAATTAGCTTCCACTTTAATCCCACCGCGTGCGCACGGCATGAAATTGGAAGTTGTCGGCGTCTTCCTGACCATCTTAACGAACTTTGCTGTCGAACCTTGGCAATTGAACTTCCGCTCGGACGGCCTGCTACCCGATGCATCAGCACTCGATATTGCAGCTTCAAAGGGCAATGTGCACGCCGTCAAGAACTTGGTCAAAAAGGGAGCACATCTGGCGGGAGGAAGCCGTGCATCGGGTTGGGCACAGGCCAAGCTGTCCACCACGACTGACTTTATGCAACGGAAGGATCTAGAACGCTGCACATTCATCATAGAGAACTGGGACGACAAGCACAAACAGACACGGAGACTAGCGGACGACTGGACAAATATGCGTACGATAGACGAGTCACGCGTCGCTTCGAGTTGGGATATCTTGGTCTTCGATTATGCCAAGCGAGACAACATAAAAAAAGCCCCGTCAACAACGGAGGAGGCTTGAACTATCCTACTTAGCCCAGATCACCTACGCATAGCTTCCACACAACACCATAGCGTCAACCATGTTTGCGTTTCCTGGTCTCAAGCGCAGGGTGTGCGTACTGCGAATTGTAAAGAGGTATCAGAGCGTCTTATGAGACAATGAATGGAGCCAGTGCATGAATGAATAATTTTTCATATTATGTTCTTGCACAAGCGTACGCAGAGATATCCAGGCTGTTGTGGCATTCTTTACGTATCAAAGCAGACGAATATAATCGCTTGACGTCTTGACTCTGAGCCAGAATAACCCCAAAAGTAGGGCAGACATCCATCATACAGCCAATGGAGCATCAGTTTTCAGGGAAAAGAGACATTTTGTAGAGGACCAACGCCAAGCAAACACTCCTCTCCATAGGTAGGTATGTTCCAGTCGCCAGCCATACAAGGCTTGGGAACAAGTTCGAAGATCAAGCTGCCTTTACCCAATCCATGCAATCTGGTGTCTCTCACCTTGCCCAGATGACCAACTGTTCATCCTCGGGTTTTAGAGCCCCGAGACAGACGTTTACAGCCAGCGCATTGTGCAAGATTTCAAGCCGAGGACGCATCCAGTTTACTAATGAACATCTTTGCAGTCAATAATATACAGTAGTGGAGTGGGCGATTCGATTGGTTTCATAGACCTGTATTTCAGGGGGGGATATCAAGTGTTCTGACCCCGACCGTATGACCATCCAGCACCTGACATACTCAACATTCACCTTTGCATACATGGATCGCAAGGAGGCAAAACCTCTAATGCCTGCGGGGCCTGCAGGCATGGCAATCTTCGCATCCCGCCCGAAACTTCGGCTGCGTCCCGCACGGCGGGCCAACATCTCGACCCCCGATGTTCTCCAGGCGATCTGCGCATCCGACGCCTCTTGTGTGTCTCGTACATGGTGGTTTGTGTTTGTGCTCTTCGGTACTGGATGTGTAAAAGCTGGGGCTGCTAGCAACCGACGCCCGGTAGTCGTAATCCTGGTGCACGTCGCCGTGATTAGACAGGACCCCTTGCTCGACGCATTTGTACTGGGACCGATGAGATGCAAGCTCGTTTCCGTGGTGTGGCATCGCATCCTCCACGTTCTTCGGCGTCGGCATGCGTTTTCCCTTTGTGCTCGTCGATGCATAAATGCCATGGCCACTTCGACGGGCCCTCTCGTCCGACCGTTGGAAATGGTCGTGGGAGCCTGCATCATACCAACTGCACCAGGCTGCCCTTTTCCTTGGGGATAATGAGTAACGACTTCGCGACGGCTGGATTCGGTCGAGTCTCGCATGGTCCGGTCTGGGACTCTTTGTCGAAACGCGACACCTCCCCCGAAGCCGGAGTATCGCGTGGAGTCCGCGTCGCCTGTGAAAGACATCGAATGGGGTTCATTATTCGGATCAACCAGGTTTCCGAATTTCGGCGGCCAATCTGGCTGTCCCTCTAAAATTATTCGCCATGACGCGAGTAAAGATGTGAAAGCAGTAGTAAAAGCAGCCTTGGTAGCCTACTCTAGGGCGGTTCGGTAATATGAAGTTGAGTCAAGAGATCAATGATTTTAATCAACATGCCCAAGGAAAAAGGAAGTGGGAGGACCTGAGACCCTATAAAGCGACTGCGAGCGCCAATTCTGGGGAACCCACCTTGGAGCCACCCTGAATTAGGCTTTACGAGTGGGCTTTGAATTGCCTAGAATGGGGTACTGCATCACTCTTGGTGCCCCGACCACCCATCTCACTCGCTGAAGCGGCAGGGCTGAGGGGTGTGACGAGCAAATCTCGTCGCCTTAGATCGCCTTGCCACTAGCAGAGTGCCCTTCAAGTCGAGGTGGGGTAATTCAGGGCATCAGATCGGTGTCCACTCCTTGCTCTCGCTCCTGTGTCATGATCAGGAGAGGGATAAGCCAGAGACACTGCTTCAGATCAAGCCGCCAGTCAATCAAGAAAAGCCCAAAAGCTGGCTTCGAGGGCCGAATGGTCGAGCAGGGACGCAACGGACCTAAAGAGCTACTCGATATGACGCCTGCTCTTCGACACCACACAATGCAAGGCGCCGGCGTCAACAACGGCGTTATCTTCAAGAATCCCATAGGCTCTTCTGATCTCTACCTTACGTTTAGGATGGCCGGTGCCGGATGTTCCTAGGTTCCGGGGTGTAGCGACACGTGAATGAGGACCAGACTGGGGCTGGTGACAGGGTTTCTTGCACGACCTCGAGGAGCCTGCCAACCAAGCCGACTTCATGGGACGTCCAGTACCAAACCAGCAGAATACCCCCTTCTATACCATTTTCCGATTCCTCGTCGGCTTTGTCTCTCCCTCTCTACTCGCATCGAATCCAACTCAGACTCAGTCCGAGGCTTGCGGAGATCCGCACGTACTCGAGCCAAGTCCTCTTGATGTCTGAACTCCAATTCCGCGTCCTGCCGCCGTTTGCGCTCTTCATGAGCGTTGCTCCAGGCGCTCATGATATCGCCGGAGGAGTAGTGGGCCGGATAGTGTGGTCAGGTTCACTGCAACGAATACCCTACGTCACGCGGGCTCTGGTATGAATGCCAAATTGACTGCGTGGCTTACCCAGCCTAGGACGGGTCCTGGTGTTCACGGCATGATATGTGGGAAGGCTTGGGGAGATAATCAAGAGGGGTTTGAAGAAGTCGAGGAAAGGAAGCAGATGAAAAATTGCAAGGTCGCCCGATAACAATGTACATTTTAGACAACGAATATTTGAGCTGCGAACGAGGAAACGAAAAGTGCTCAGAGTGTTGGTTTAATTTGCACTCCGACTTGCATTTGAGGCGTCGGGAAGACTGAGATTTTCCCTCTTGGTCACCAAACTCATTAGGGGCAAAGGGGAAATCTCTGGCACAGGGGCGTATATACTCGAGGTCCATGCCCACCAGAATGTATCCAGTACGCAGTCCAGTCACATAGCCCTAGCCCTGGTATCTTATTTTCAACATATAACCGGATCTAGAAATAGTATACAAATAGTTGCCGAAGACTTTGACTAGGCTTGGTGTGCATCACACGATAGCTATGGACCTATCAGTCGATCGATCAATCAATCAATCAAGCTACTCCTAAAAACAATTTTTATGCTACGTTAGTGGGTAGGGGGGAAGATTGAGCCATGTCAAGTACACACTATGCTACATTTGAGCTAGTCGCTCCCGCCGTCTTCTTGCCGCTCCGCATGCCGCTTCAACTTTCTACCGCACACTTTCAAGCATGCAATGTCCTTCCGCAAACGAAATGTAGGGCTCGCCGGCCCCTCCTCTGCGCCTCCTTCCCCCAAGGACTCTCCCGTCACCCATGCCAGTGTGCCCGGAGTGCGCCCATCTCCCCTGGACGGCCGACCCACAACCTCGACCGGCACCCAAACCCTCGATGACCTCCTCGCCGGGCACGCAGGCCTCGCCCTCGGCAACTCGTTGCTGGTGGAGGAAAACGGCACCACGGACTTTGCGGGGGCCTTGCTGCGGTATTACGCCGCCGAGGGGGTGGTCCAGGGACATAGGGTGCATGTTGTGGGCGTAGGGGAGCAATGGGGACGGGAGCTGCCTGGGCTTGTGGGAGGTGGTGGTGCGGTTGGTAAGGAGAGTGGATCCGGTGTTGGGGTTGATCAGGAGAAGATGAAGATTGCGTGGAGGTATGAGAGGTTGGGGGAGTTTGGGACCGGGACTGCTGGAGCAAGAGGTGGGATTGCCCTACTTCTGTCTTGCTTCTTGATGTACATAGAAAATATTCGTTTGTTGAGAATATTGGCATGATGAGTTGAGAATCTTATTACTAACGTCCACAGCGACACCAGCGCCCAATCGCAACCCAGTACCATCAAGCCCAGGCCAATCCGACTCCACGGTCACAATTCCGTTTTGTCACAGCTTCGACTTGACCAAACGCCTCTCGCTCCCAACTTCTGGCACCATCAGCTTCACCGCCATTTCTCCCACCGCGGAGAATCCGTTCGCTTCCATTCTCCAATCCGTTACCCTGGCAATCGCTTCCTCTCCTCCCAACACCATCCACCGCCTGATAATTCCCACTCTCCTCTCTCCAGCTCTTTTCCCGCCTTCCGCCAGCCATCCCGGGCACCTCCTACCCTTCCTACATTCCCTTCGTGCTCTCCTTCGCCACCACTCCACCCGCATGAGTGCCATGCTCACCCTCCCACTCTCGCTGTATCCACGCTCGACAGGCCTTGTCCGCTGGATCGAGCATCTGTGTGACGGCGTGCTCGAACTGGCCCCCTTCCCTCACTCGATCGATGTCGAGCCGCCGTTGACCACGAGCTCCGGTTCTGGCAAGGCTGAGGAGAAGCCGCAAGGAATGCTGAAGATCCACAAATTGCCCGTGCTGACCGAAAAAGGGGGAGGTGGCGGCGGAGGTGACGACTTGGCGTTTTCGTTGAGTAGGAAGAGATTTGTGATCAAGCCGTTCAGTCTACCGCCCGTTGAAGGAGACCAGGAGGCGCAGAGGGGAGAAGCGGAGGGTGGGAAGGTGGGAAAGGTGGATATTGAATTTTAAAGGTTGGTTGAAGATGTGTTATTCGAGGTTTCTAGGGCTTGGATATAAGCTTTGCTAATGAATAAAGGTCATTTTGGACGCCACTGTGGCCCCCAAGCCCACTCGAGTTCAAAGATGTTGCTGTGGTCAATGCCAGGCCAAAGGGAAGTATTTGTTCGTATGCAACGTCGCAGTTTGTGATGGCGCTTCAACACCAATCTACACAAACCTCGTGGTTGAGACTTTCGATCATAGTCCCATCGAACGTGAGCAGCAGACAGGTAGCAGTCCCTTCACATGTGGAACGTGGCTGTGGGAATGGTGATTGCGCTGAAGGTATGCGGGGAGTTCAACGGTTGGACAGCGGTCTTGAGTGTGTGAGTCTGCGTTTAGCCATGATTTGAGCAAGTTTAAAGTTTATCGCAGTTCAACTGAGATGATTTACAGGATTACCTTCCTCCAAAATACTCGAACTTTGGGCAAGGGCGTTTCGTTCCTGTTTCCCTTTGAGAACGCCAGTTTCACATCTGTCCTGATTCCCAAATTTTCTTCCACCACCACCATCCCACCATCCACAACCGTTACTAAAGCCGACTATCGCAATTATTCAGACCATTCCAACTTTCCTCAGGCAATCAACGAACTTCAGCCCTCCACCACAGCAACCCGACTTCATGGCCACCCAGAACACGATCGGAGATGAGCTTTCTCGTCAGACTTCATCAGCGAAAAGTCCTCCATCAGCGAAAAGTCCCCAGCCCAACAAACAAATCTTCCCCTTCCTCGACCTACCGGCCGAAATCCGCCTCCTGATCTACCAACCCATCCTCCCCCAAAAAGTCCGAGTGAAACCCCTGAGCCCATTCCTCTCGACCCTCGGATCCCGCAACGACCGCCTCGCCCTCCTCCGGACGTGCCGCCAACTCCGCCACGAAGCCCGCCCCCCGCTCTTCCGCGACGCCACCTTCACGTTCGACGTCCACGACGACGTCTGCGCGCGCTGCTTCCTCGCTTGGATCGACGGCGTCGGGGACGGACTCGTGTCGAGGCTGAAGCGCTTCGACATCGTCGCCGTGGACGGGGAGCGTGTCGTCAGAGCTGTGGTTCGGGCCGCGGACGCCGGCGCCGTCGTCACGGGTGCTGCGGTTGGGGTTTTCCGGGGGGGGAGGGAATGGGTCGCCGACGCGCGGACGGCGCGCGGTGTTGAGTGGGTTGGATAGCGGGGGGTGGACAGGGTCTTTCTCCGTGGCAGATGTGAAATCGATTGTCTATGCTGTTGGAGGGTGTATGGACATCCGCGATTTGCAACCGGCTGGCCGGGGTCAAGGGAGATTTCTGGGCTTGGTGAATCTTCGGAGCTGGTTTTTCTAGCTGTTTCGGTATCGAATATCATGCGTTCTTCTTCTCAGCCTTCTTGAAGATACTTTCCATGCCATCTTCCCCTGCCCACCCATCTCCCCCTAAGTTTCCCTTCACTCAAACCAGACCTCGACAGACACAAACCAGCCTCTCACGCCCCGCAGCCCCGTTCCTCTCCTCTCTTCTTCCTCCCCCTGACCCATGTATCCTCCGCCTCCCCTCCCTCTGCCTGATTCCACTCCATAACCCCCCCGGCCCGGGCATCTCCACCTCTTCCTCGAATACCGACGTCTATATTCCATTCCATTCCATCTCATTCCACCCTCTCCCCATTTTCCTTCTCGTCAACATAAACCAAACGAGATAGATGAGGGTCGAAAAAAATCTCAACGCCAACATTCTCATCCATGCGTGGGTTACAACAACCTACCTGTCTGACATGGCCCGCAAGGATGAGTGAGCGGTTCGAAAGGACCCCCCCCCCGGTCGAGGCGGAGATTCCTTCATTAGCCGTGGGGTGTGGAAATGGGGCGGGTGGGGAGTCGTTGTCTCGGGAGTTAACTGGTCGTGCGGTCGTCTAGTTTTTTGGTGGTTGATAGTTTAGAGAACAGTGGATATGATGGACTTGTGAGACAAGGAGGTGTAGGAAATGGTTGTTGGGGGGGGATAGAGATCATGTTGGGCACAGGGGGGATGAGTAGATGGATGGTGCTGGAGACTGCTGCTGGCATTTTCAATGGTAAGTTCTGGAATTCGCGATTGAGAAGATGATACGGTGTTTCCATCTCATTGGTGCTGGTGGCAGAGGGGGTGGACGGATAGTGGGTATCGATTTTTGGGAGCACTATGGAACAAACGCTTTCGACGGTATCTGATACTGAGCAGAGTAGCAAGACTTCACCTCGTCAATGACACAGGTGTGGTGCGCCATTCATGGGTGTTGCCAATTTCCTCGTTCTCGGTTGCTGAACGCCGGCTGAATAGCTAGCGAGTTCGATCCTTGTCTTTGTCCGCAACACCAGCTCCTCTTACCTTTTCTCAGCAACATCAATCACTAAAATTCACGTTCTTCGTTCCTCGATTGGGATACCTAGCGGTAGTGTGGCAATATTCGATCTACTCTTGCTTTGTGAACGGCTGAGAACGAGTCTCAGCCTGACCTTTCGACGGCTTAATCGGCTTGTTGCCCTCGACATAATCGAAGTGTCCAGCCAGGTCCATCAACCACACATCGCCCGGTCCCCTCGCGCCTCCAGGCTTCTGACTCAAGAAGTTCAAAGGGAAGCCAAGATCAAAAGGCGCAGCTCCATCGATCTCTGCCATATCCTCATCGCTCAGCTCCAAACCCAAGGCATCAATGTTGCCCTTCAGGTGCTCGATCTTCCGCCCACCCACAATTGGGAAGACGTATGGCGCCTTGTGCATGACATACGCAAGAGCGACCGAGGTGATAGCCGTGCTCTTTCGGTCAGCAACCTTCTCCAGCGCATCTGTAAGCTTGATCTGATTCTCAGTAGGCGGAAACATGTTCCTGCCCTCTCCCTTCAACTCTTCCCTCTGCTTCTTCGTCTTGAAGTTTCCTGCACCGAGCGAACCCCACGGCGCGAGACCCATACCCTCGTCAGCGCACATTGGGATGATGTCGCGCTCGAAGTCACGGCTAGCGGCGCTCCACTGACCTTGGTAGACGACAAATTGGCGCAAGCCATGGTCGCGAGCATACTGGTTGGCTTTTGACACGATCCAAGCTGGAGTGTCGCTAACGCCGAGGTAGATAACTTTGCCCTGCTGGACAACGGTATTCAAGCTCTGCATGAGCTCGGGAATAGAGGTTGTAAAATCCCACCAGTGCACGTACAGCACATCAATATAGTCCGTCTTCAACTTGTGCAGAGAGTTTCTGAGAGAGACATGGAGGGATTTGCTACCGTTGCCTGCGGAGTTGCTGTGGATGATACCGTCGTGACCTTTGTAGCTGCTGAAGCTGGTGGTGTATTTGGTAGCGATGACCATTTGGTCGCGAATGCCAGGGTGTTTATGCATCCATTCGCCAATCCACATCTCGGATTGCTCGGATTGGTAGTTGTTGGCGGTGTCGATGAAGTTGCCGCCTTGATCGTGGAAGTAGTCGAGCAGCTCGAATACAGATTCCTTCGACACTGCTCCCATCATGCCAGCCCTGCGACAGATGTTGTTAGCAAGGGATTCAACGTATCATTTCGGAGATTGCTCGGCCTTCTTCCAAACAAGATGGGGAGCAAGCGAGTCTTCGTGAGATATAGATTGGGAACATGACAGGGATGGCAGGGAGTTTTTGGGGGAATTACCAGGCATCACCAAAATTCATGGCGCCTATACATAGCGGACTGACTTTGACAGCCGCAGAAGGGGAGAGCAGGCGGTGTCTGCCGAGAAGGGATTTTGGGGGCGGCGCTGGATCCATAATTGTGTTGCGGTATTCGACAAGGCGTATAATCTATAATCAGAGGCAGCAGAAGTGTGAAATTGAAGTGGAAAACATTGACATTGAGCTGTTTAAGTACCGTCTCGTCATACTCCGTTTTAAGTCCGAAGCTAGTATACGATTACAGGGATTACTAATGGTTCACCGTGCTTACAAAGGCATTCTTGCAGTCCCCTGTCTCCGGTACGGGTAAGCTTCCTTCCGCTCTCTCGGCTCAGAACTGGCCATAATACCTGGCACTATTTTGCACCAGGTGGTGAGGTGTGGCACAATCATGACAATATCACAATGAGCATGATCAGTGGTGTGAGGTATTTCTCCAACCGTAATCATGGACTTTTGTGCCACAATCTATCATGTATAGTAAAGTCTATGTAAGAAGCTGGATAGCAATGTCAATTATGAACGCCGTAATATGGGGTATAGTCGAATGCAGAGATAAGTCGAATACAGGCGGTAGAATCCATAGCAAAGCCAAGCTTCCGCGGCTCCTCATGGATGGACTCCATACCAAAACATGTACCATCACGGAGACCACACAAATCTTGAAACGCCGACGCCTCTCCCAGTAGCATGAGCTCGTAGCGTGGAACAATCGTGTAAACGGGCTGAAGAAGGGCAACAGAGGCCAGGTAGACTCAATGTCCGAAGCCATGTGGTGGGCCATTCCCTCCATTGTCGGATGAATTGTCTCCCTCAATGGTCTGTTTCCAATACTCCGGTAGACAAACGCAGACGAGCTAATCTTGGGTCAGCTAGGCTCCCAAGAGATGTCCTTGGGCAGTGCTTACTGGGAACGCCTTCAGCTCTCCGCTCGGTGGCGGAGAATCTCCCCTCCCTGATCCATTCGAGACACCACTATCTCGTTGGACCTTGTGCTTCCCATCGTAGTCCTCCGCTCGTTCCTTAATCCGGACACCAGTCGCCCAGCCATCATCCCAGATACCCACTACCTTGAGCATGTCGCCTCTCTCAAGCTCAAATTCATCTCCAGCACGCGGTGAGTAAGCCCAAAGCGTGGCAACTTTGTCGTTGGGACTGATGTCGTCTTCCGAATAGTAGTCTTTGAAGAAGGGGAGTTGCTCTGATTGTCCGCTGACGACGCCTTCTGGAGACGAGATTTGCCCCTCGGTGTTTGGAGAGCTCGGATCATCCATCGCCCCCAGAACCGATTGACTCGACAATGAACCGTTCCTCTTTCCTGTAGTTGGCGGACCGAATCCCCTTCGAGACTCTGGAGTTTCACCGTAGGCTTCGGACTCGGATGTATCTCCATAACGCCTGTGGCTGCCTTCCGCAACACCGCCAATCACTGGATTTCCATATGATGGCGAGTCACTAATATTTCCTTCCAATGCAGACATCCTGGCAACGCGTCCTCCGGATTGGGGTCCATAGTCTGGTGGAAGCGCTTGCGTTGCGGGCGGTGGGGAATAGACCATCCCAGCTCCATTTGTCCGCTGAGGTGTTGGTTGGTTGAAGATACTTGTTTGACTTCCTCTTCGCCGCCGGCGAAAAAATATGCAACATAGCAAGAGTAAGCCCGCCAACAAAATAGCCCCAATGACGGAGCCAACCACGATTCCAGCGATCGCGCCTTTTGACAAGCCTGAGTTATGATGGCTACTACTGCTTTTTGCACCGCTGCTTGCAGATGCTGACGGAGTACTGCTTGATGTTGATGATGGAAATAGTGGAGGCACGGAGGTAAAGGTTGGTAGCGTTACACCTGGACATCTGCTGTTCACGTTCGCTCCTTCGCAGCACGTATCTGTAGCATTTGGAGAGCTGGTCGCACAATAGCTGCAAAGACCTTGGAGATTGGTCGAAAAGCCACAATCGTTTGGCTCATTCTGTTCCCCGGTAATACAGGTCCCACTCAAAGAATTGCTAGGAAGGGCACAATTCGTGAAGTCGGCTCGTATCTGGTCCAAGTAGCCCGGTTGAGGGTTGTCGCAGAGCTGACTGTTGACTGCAATTTCCTCCTCACTGGTTGCTTGTTGAGCCTGTGAAGTCTTAGCAACGGCTTGTGTACAAAGAGATGACCACTAACGCAGGATTCTGCGCAAAGTGGGGGCGAGTCGGCGCTGGAGAGTGTGCACGGCTTTATCGAATTCTGCACAATAGCATTACATATTACACTAGTTGTATATCGTGCGTAAAGATTGGTGGTATTCGTCAAATTGACATTGCCACAACCCAGCAAGTGCTGGTATCTGGATGGGTTGATCAGCCATATCCTTCAAGGACCTCCCCAAGCATCCAATGTACTTCTCTTGAACGTAGCTGGAATTAACGTATTGGCTCAATTGGGTATCGAACTGTTGTATACTCGAAACGAAAGCAAGGAAAGGGCTATGACGAGTCAGCTTCTGCGAAGATGTACAGGATATGCCGCAGCGTTGGGGTACTTACTACAACGAAGAAAGGGACGAGTCTGTGGAAAAGGAGGACGTATTGAAAGCCGGGCATTGGGTCGAGCCTTTTAGAGGGATGCAGCTCTGCGCTGCTGCGGCCGGTATCAACAACGCAAGGGCGGTGAGGAGAGCTGTCGAGGCGAGCGGCGCCATCTCCTTTGCCCTGGCTGTCCCACCGCGCGAACTGAAAATTAACGAAGGCTTTCAGAACGCGCAATGGTGCTCGGAGAGGAGCTTCGAGCGCCCTCGCAACAATGTTCCTGGCTGCTAAGATTAGGGGAAGATTAATTCGGTAGGCTAATCTTAGAGCTGCATCTTACCGAAAAGCTTATCATAATCCCTGATCCTGCACTAAGGTACCACCTATCTCAATTGAAACTCTCCATACCTACATTCTGACTGGGAAATATTTACTCTTGACGCACTGCGAGATAGTCATTGGTAAGTCGAAGGTAGTCATTGGTGAGTCAACAAAGTCTTTATGAGTCATAATCCTTCGTAGATACTATGTCAAAGTTTTTCATCCTGATTACTTCCATCTCATAGAGAAAATGGATGAGGAAATTGCAGACAAAACTGCTGCTATAAATATGGGGCAAGTCGAGGAGCCAAGTAAAAACGCACTCAAGAAGGCAAACAAGCAAAAGAAACTGGCAGCAGAAAAAGCAAACAAGTCAGCCACAAATACAACCCCAGAAGCTGCCAGATCCGAGGCCAAGAAGGCAGTCAACAAAGCTCCCAAAAAGAAAATCGAAGGGGCTGCTTTGATCGGGTAAGTCTTCCAGCCTGTCAGGAAGGGAATTCTAACCAAGGAATGACTAGCATTGACATAGCGAAGGATGAGGACTTCTCAGGCTGGTAAGAATTGCCCATTAGAAATCATATTCCAGTTACTAAGATTACAGGTATCAACAAATTCTCACCAAGGTACGTACTCTCGGAGTGAAATATCCCACTTCATTACCGAGCTCGATTACAAGGAACTTCTGGGAGTCAGAAGCAAGTCTTCGGTCTCGAGACATGTTTGCAGACTCGACATTTGACCTGACAGAGGGGATATTGACCCCGATTTTTCAAAGGGTGATTTCCTCGACTACTATGATGTCTCCGGCTGCTACATCCTCAAGGTTCGCAGAATCCGGCCCCCTTACATGCGTGCCCGCTGACAGCTTCAAGCCCGCGTCGTGGTTCATCTGGGAGCAAATCCGAGACTGGTTTGACTTCAGGATTAAGAAAATCGGAGTCAGGAACTGCGCGTTTCCCTTGTTCGTATCAGAAGAAGTCCTTCAGAAAGAAAAGGCCCATATCGAAGGATTTGCAGCCGAAGTTGCATGGGTGACACATGCGTAAGTCTACAAGATTTACAACGGCGATCTCGATCTTGCTCACTTTGTGACAGCGGGTCCGCAAAGCTTGACAAAAAGATTGCAATACGTCCAACATCAGAGACCGTCATGTATCCGTACTACGCAAAATGGATACGGAGCCACCGAGACCTTCCTCTCCGCCTAAACCAATGGAACTCCGTTGTTCGCTGTGAGTATACCTCAGGTTCCTCCTCAAAGCAGGTCCACGGCTAATTTGGAGAACTTCAGGGGAATTTAAGAACCCAACGCCGTTCCTAAGGACGAGGGAGTTTCACTGGCAGGAAGGCCACACAGCTTACTTGAAGCAAGAAGACGCGCATAAAGAAGTTCTACAGATACTGGAATTCTACGCCGGTGTTTATGAAGAACTACTTGCTGTTCCAGTGGTTCGAGGTCGAAAGACTGACAAAGAGAAGTTTGCCGGTAGGTCTAGCAATTCCCCCCCATCAGCTTAGAAAATTGGCGCCGACTCCGAGAATAGGGGGAGACTACACCACCACAGTCGAAGGCTACATTGCTGCGACCGGACGAGGGATTCAAGGAGGCACAAGCCATCATCTGGGACAGAACTTCAGCAAGATGTTTGGCATCTCGGTCGAGGATCCCTCCGCCAAAGAAGGTGAGAAGAAAGCTGCACTCAACGTCTTCCAGAATTCATGGGGTCTGAGTACAAGAGCGATCGGTGTGATGGTCATGACTCACGGAGACAACCGCGGTCTCGTTGTTCCTCCCCGTGTCTCCGAAATCCAAGTCGTCATCGTCCCTGTGGGCATTACAGCCAAGACGACCGAGGACGAAAGAATCTCTTTACACAAGCAGGTCGACGCGCTGGAGGAGATCTTGAAAGCCGAGGACATACGAGCCGAGGCGGACAAGCGGGGATACTCTCCAGGCTGGAAGTTCAACGACTGGGAGATGAGAGGTGTGCCCTTGCGCCTCGAGTTCGGACCCAAAGACTCGGCAGCTCATTGCGTCACCACTTCTCGCCGCGACATCGAAGGGAATGACGGCAAGGGTACGATCCAGATCACGGAGCTTGCCGCAGGGGTCAAATCTCTGTTGAGTTTCATTCAGAAAGACCTCTACAGCCGGGCCGACCGGGTGTATAAGGATCACACCAAGAAGATCACAGCTTGGGATGATTTCGTGCCGGCACTGAACGACAAGAACGTCTGCCTCATTCCCCATTGCCTGACGGAGAAGTGCGAGGACGAGATCAAGGAGATGAGCGCGAGGGTGGACGGCGACGAGGTCGTTGATGAAAGGGCTCCGGCTATGGGGGTATGTACATTTACCGCCCTTACCTGCCCAAAAAGATTGCTGACTCCGAAACCCTTTTAGGCGAAATCTCTGTGTATTCCTTTCGATCAGCCGGAGGGGATCGTGAAGGGGGAGACGAAGTGTACGAATCCCAACTGCAAAAATTTGGCGGAAAGCTTTTGTTTGTTTGGGAGAAGTTATTGAAGTATCGCTGCGAAGCTTGGGAGCTTTCCTTGAGCATCATGTATCTTAGCTGGTGTTTGATAATGAGAGAATGTATTGGCAACGGCAAGCCCCAAGCACAGTGCACATTGAATTAGCTTTAGGTCAGAGGTAGGACCGGTTTCACAACGAACCAACCCTGGTATTCCCAGCTATTGACTATCCACGGAAATCTAATGACCATGCCCATCGTCCCCGCCCCCTCTCTGTTCTGGATCCAGCTTGATAAGCGTATCTATCCTCATAACGGCAATGCATGCCTCCACCGCACTCTTCAGTTGCTTCACCTTACTCATACTCGGCTCCAACACGCCCGCCTTGATCTGATCTACCGCTTTCCCCCTCGTCAGATCCAACCCGTAGTTCTTGTAATTCTTGCGCTTCGCCATCGCTTTATCCTCCGCGCTCGGAGACTTTGAGCCTTTGGAGGGTGAAGAGGGAGGGGCAGGGGTATCTTGTATGCGTTGGGAGGTGGCGTGTAAGGAGCGGAGTTGCGCAACAAGGTCGGAAGAGTCTTTGGCGGCGTTCACGGCAAGGGTGCGGGGGATGATGAGGAGGGATTGGGCGAATTCGCCGATGGCGAGTTGTTCTCTTGAGCCGACTGTGACGGCGAATTCTTCTAGGTAGATGTGCAGTGCTGTTTCCACAGCGCCACCTCCGGGTACGATACTACCACTTTCCAGGGTGCGTTTGACGGCGGAGAGGGAGTCGTGCACCGAGCGCTCCATCTCGTCCAGTTGGTAGTCGTTCGAGCCGCGCAGGATGATCGACGCAGATGTATGCACTTTGGTACCCTTGACGAGGATGCACTCGTCATCTGAGATGCGCTCTTGCACTACCTCTTCTGCATGACCCAAGGAAGCTGCTTCAAATTTCTCGTCGCCGTTGAGGTCCGAGAGAGAAGAGACAAGCGTAGCTCCTGTGGCTTTTGCTATTCTCCGCAAATCCTCTTTTTTGCATCGCCGCACAGCCATGGCACCTTTTTCAATGAATTGTTTGAGGACTAGGTCATCGATGCCCTTTGTAGTAAAGACAACATTGGCGCCGGCTTTGAGAATCATCTCGACACGTTCCATGACCATGCCGGCTTCACGTTTGCGGATTTGCTCCAGCTGTTGTGGGTCGTCAACTGTTATGTGGACGCCGAGTTTCATGCGCTCTTTCTGCAAGTTCATGTCCAGGCAGGCGATCTTGGCATCTGTTATTCGGGTCTTCATGGCTTGCGAGGCGACGGTGCAATTTAGAGCGTATCCTTTGACGAGCACCGACTCTGTAGAGCTCTTTCCGTGAGCTTTGAGGACATTCACAGCTTTCACAGGATATTTGGTTTCGTTGCGATTGTTGGTTGATTTCACAGATTGCATGGCGTCCACCACCATGTTTGAGAAGAATTTTGAATCTGAGCCGATGATCTTGCTTGACATCGAAGTCTTTGCTATGTTGATGAGGGATTCCCTGCCTAGGTTTTCGACCTTAGTGCTTATGTTCTCGTTCATGTATTTCACCGCTTCTCGAAGAGCCAGCCGGTAGCCTGTTATAATTGTAGTTGGATGTATTCGGTTCTTCATGAGCTCATTTGCTCGCCGTAGGAGTTCCGCAGCTATTATGACTACTGAAGTTGTTCCATCGCCAACCTAGTGGTGATCAGCGAATGATGCATGGTGTGGGTCTCGGATGACCAACCTCCTTGTCCTGCTGCTGTGCTAAATCCACGAGTATCTTCCCTGCAGGGTGCTCCACATCAAGAAGGCTCAGGATAGTTGCCCCATCGTTGGTCACTGTGACGTCCTAGGATCGCTCAGCGTGGAACGTCCGCAAAAGGCTTATTCAAGAGACCTACCCCAATGTCGTCCACCATCATTTTGTCTAGTCCCGAGGGACCAAACGAACTCTTTACTACATTGGCAATAGCTTGTGTAGCAAGGACTATGGTGGTGTCAGAGTCTGTTGACAGATACCCGAGGGAGTATTTACCATTTTGATCTCGAATATCTGCACCACTGATCTTTGTTCCACCGAGGACTGTTGACTCTCTGTCAGTCGCTGTGTTTCTCCGGCCAGGTGAAATCTTACTCACAAAGAGTACCCGCGTTTCTAGGTTGCTCAAACATTCCTGCCATCTTATGGATATCCACTCAAATGGGAACAATTTTGGAAGTAGAAACGGTGGAATTGAGCCTGCACGAGAATACTTTTTGATAAGGCTGGAAGCGGAACGCGACGCGCTTAGTTCCATAAGGCTGAAGCTATCGGCGTCAACGGTCACGCCGACTTGGTCGGTCCTGCCTAACTAACCTATGGACAGATGAGCTTTAGGTAACCACCGCGCCCATGATCTGGAGTAACGCTCCCGTTATCAACGATAGATTCGCAACATCTCACATGATCTTCGATCAAGATCTAAGGTCCCTGCGGTGAGATTCCGCAAAGCTGGGACCATAATGCAGAAGCCGCCTATACTTCCTCTTCATAGGTGACAGTGCAAGGGACTTCGAGTATGGGACAGACATTCTCGCTGGCAACCCTTTCAGCGGGCTCCGCGGGGATCGATGTGCCAGAGTTGTCGGATCTTTCGTATGAAAAGTCGCTGGGAACGGCGCGATTCATGAAGAGTATCCGAGCCAGGCATCAACATGGTTTGGTGGTTGTCAAGCTGGTCATGAAACCGTTTCCCCAGCTCGATCTCGGCCAGTACGTGAGAGCTATTCGGTGTGAGTAGGTGGCTCGTCAGCGATCTCGAAAACGAACGTCTTGCTGATACGGGTTTGCAGCAGAACGTGAAGCCCTCAACGATGTCCCAAATGCGCTCGGCTACCAGCGTATCTTCGAGACCAGTACGAATGGGTATTTGGTTCGACAGTACTTCTACAGCTCCTTGTACGACCGAATGAGGTGAGTTTGATCCTCACATTTGCCAATCAAAGTTCTGAGATGAACAGTACACGTCCATTCCTGGAGGACATCGAGAAGAAATGGCTTGCATACCAGCTTCTTTGCGCCTTAAGAGATTGCCATGCTCGTAACATCTACCATGGGGATATCAAGACAGAGAACGTTCTGGTCACCTCGTGGAATTGGCTATATCTGACGGACTTCTCTTCCTCGTTCAAGAAGACATATCTCCCAGAGGACAACCCTGCGGATTTCTCCTATTACTTCGACACTTCAGGAAGGAGGACATGCTACCTTGCTCCAGAACGCTTTCTTGGGGCCGATGAAAAAGACGATGGGAGGGGGGTCACATGGGCCATGGATGTCTTCAGTGTCGGATGTGTTATTGCGGAGCTCTTCCTTGAAGCTCCCATATTCTCTTTAAGCCAACTCTACAAATACAGAAAAGGAGAGTACGATCCGAAATTCGGTTATCTGGGCAAAATCCAGGACCAAGAAGTGCGCGAGCTGGTCGGCCACATGATACAACTAGAGCCTGAGTCAAGGTTTTCCGCCGAGGAGTACCTTAAATTCTGGCGGCGCAAAGCCTTTCCTGAGTATTTTTATAGCTTTCTTCATCAATATATGGGATTGATCACGGACCCTTCATCAGGTCGTGCACCAGTTCTACCAAAGACCGCAAACTTTGGTGAAGCCGATGATAGAATCGACAGAGTATACTACGACTTTGACAAGATCTCTTACTTTCTCGGTTACGAAAATGAAAAGGCTCAAACAAATGCGAAATCTGATTCGGAAGCCTCTTCGGAAGGCCTCATTCCAGTACAGATTGACATACCGAACAACAGACACGAAGCTACTACAGTGGGAAGGCGCCCCGTCGATGATGGATCTCTTATTTTTCTTACGCTTGTAGTTTCCTCATTAAGAAACACTGCCCGATCCACTGCTAGGGTTCGCGCTTGTGATCTCATACTGGCCTTCGCCGAGAGGATCACGGATGAGGCGAAACTTGATCGGGTACTCCCCTATCTAGTAGCAATGCTGAACGATCGTGCCGACATTGTCAAGGTCGCTGCCATCCGGACCATGGCTCAACTGGTCAGAAACCCTCCTCCTATCAAACGCAAAGCTGACTTTCTCTAGCTATCTATGATCACAGTCGTGTCACCCGTCAATGCATATGTGTTTACCGAGTATATCCGTCCTCGGTTACAGCAATTCATTGTAGGCGGCAGCAATAAGGCAAGCCCAATAGTTCGCGCGACTTACGCTTCTTGCCTTGCCTCCTTAGCACACACCTCCTCCAGCATTCTGGACATGTTACAGGCTCTTCGCGCAGATGGGTCAGTCCCTACCGTCGATCCAGAGGCCGAAGATGGCGTAGACACAAATTTGACTTATCAAAACTCATTCGATGTGGCGAGGCTGGATTTATTAGAACATTTTGAGGCACACACGAAGGCTCTATTGACTGACAGTGACACATCAGTCAGACGAGCCTTTCTAGGTTCCGTATCAAGTCTCTGCGTCTTCTTTGGTAGCTCAAAAACGAACGATGTCATCCTCAGCCATCTCAACACATATTTGAATGACAAGGACTGGATCCTGAAATGTGCCTTTTTCCAAACGATCGTTGGAGTTGCCACCTTTGTTGGTGGCACAAGTCTTGAGGAATTCATCTTGCCTCTCATGATACAAGCTTTGACTGATCCAGAGGAATTCGTGGTCGAGAAAGTGCTCTCCTCTTTTGCGAGTATGGCGGAATTAGGTTTGTTCCAACGATCCAGGACCTGGGAGATGGTAGACATAGTTGCACGGTTCATGGTGCATCCCAACATTTGGATCCGAGAAGCGGCTGCACATTTCGTCTCGTCCTCAACGCGATATTTGTCCATAGCAGATCTCCACTGCATTGTTTCCCCACTCGTACAGCCATATCTCAAATCATCCATTACCGACTTCTCGGAAACCAGTATACTCGATAATCTCAGAAGACCCTTGCCTCGACCTATCCTCGAGATGGCCGTGAGCTGGGCTTTAAAGGTCGAGGGAGGACTCTTTTGGAAGCCTGTCCAGCAGCAAAGGACCTTCTCTTTCGGATCCCCCGAACAGGCTCTTCCCACGATTTCTTCGAAAGACCTAAGACCAAATGTTCTAAGTAAGATTGCAAAGAATAACGAAGATGAGCAGTGGATCACGAGACTACGGAACATAGGCATGAGTACGGATGATGATTTCAAGCTCTTGGCATTGAGGGAATACATCTGGCGTATTGCTCATAAGCAATTAAAGGCAGGCCCTGATGGCACTCCATCACATTTGAACAGCATTCTACTGCTCAAAGAAATGAACGTTACACCACAGACAATCTTTTTTGAAAACCAAAAACGAAAAGACAAATCTCGGCGTCGAGCTTCAAATGGCGAGCACCAAGCCAGCGGATCCAAGAACAACCCAGAAATCGCACCTCATACCATCGCAGACGCGTTGCTCGATGCGTCTGCTACCATCGATGATCCTCTCTCTCAGCGTAAGAAATCGTATGCAAATGCCAGGAGGGAAAGGCTTAACGGCACACTCCAAGTCCAAAGCATACCCATCGAATCACGGCGAAGTTCTTCTAACGTTAGTTCGCCTTTATCCACTTCGCCACGCGGACGGCGTCAATCCCATCCGACGAACTCGACGGATAACAATGACAATCCCCCAAGCGCCGGCACGCTTACCCCAACAGATTCCCTCCGGACAGGTGGCGGACATGGTAGAAGTGGAGGCATAAAACACAAGTCCAGTGCTATCAATTTACTGAATCGAAGAGATACCTCCAAGACCGTAGCCGAGACAGGCACGACTTCTGCAAACGCCTTTGGTAAAGTTGACGGCCCATTCACCCGAGAGCCTTCTGAGGCCTCGTCTCATCGTAAGGCAAGCCACAGCGACGCGAAAACAGATCCAAAGAATGCAACCCATGCTGGCCACACATACGACGGCAATGATCCCAGTGTTTTGAGATTCCTTGATTCGTTAGCATCGGAGAATTATCCACATGACATTCACGATTTCGGGCCTTTGATTATGCCAATTAGTAGCAAGCGACATTTGATGAAGAAGGCAGATAGTCCGGGATCTGACAAGCCCTGGCGACCGGAGGGAACGCTGATTGCAACCTTTGCAGAGCACACGGGCCCAATCAATCGAGTCGTGCCTTCGCCAGATCATGCTTTCTTCATCACGGGGTCCGATGATGGCACTGTCAAGGTTTGGGATACAATGAGGCTTGAACGAAATCTTACCCATCGATCCAGGCAAACACACAGCCATGCCGAGGGAGCAAAAGTAAAGTGCCTATGTTTTGTCGAAAACACTCATTCATTCGTCAGTGGTGCGACTGATGGTAGCATCAATGTCGTCAAAGTGGATCACACGCTTGTAGGTGATACTTCCAAGTACGGCAGACTTCGCAGTGTGCGGGATTATCAGCTACCTGAGGGCGAGCATGCGGTGTGGCTGGACCATTCGAAATTGGATACACAATCCGTCCTGCTGTTAGCTACCAACACCTCACGAGTCGTCGCTCTGGATTTGCGGAATATGACCGTAATTTACTCTTTCAAAAACCCCGTGCACCATGGTACGCCGACTTGCTTTTGTGTTGATCACAAACACGGCTGGATGCTGATTGGAACCTCACATGGCGTGCTCGACTTATGGGACCTTCGCTTTCGACTGCGATTGAAAGGCTGGGGTCTCGCCGGAGGCACACCAATACACCGTCTGATCATTCACCCGTTCAAGACGTATGGCAGATGTGTCTGCGTGACTGGTGGCACAGGGCAAACAGACATCACAATTTGGGACGTTGAAAAAACAGAATGCCGAGAAGTCTTCCGCGTCGGAGTCCCCAAGAATGGCGGCAAGGAAAATCTAAAAGCATACGAACCCTGGAAAGTCGACGAGGAAAAACCTGAAGGCATGCTCGGCCGCTTTGCCACAGCTATCGACCCTTCTGGGGGCGGCAATAGCAATCCGGACAGGGGTTTTCGGGCTCTAGCCGTGGGTATCGATTCACCTGAGCCTACTTGGGAAGGCAAATACGGCTTCTTTCTCACTGGTGGCGCTGATAAAAAACTCCGCTTTTGGGATGTCACACGCGCGGATGCTTCAACGGTGATTAGTGGTCTTGCCGCCGACGAAGACCAGCCTAGATTTACGACCTCGCATCCTACCGCGACCCTCACCATCAATAGTGAGCGGATACCACAGGTGGCTCCCTCGGCGCCCAACGCTGCCGCAGGAAATAAACCCGGCTCGAGTTCTGCAGGTGCTAAGAAGCCGTCGTCACTGGATGTAAAGCCGCCAAGGTCTACCATTATCAGCAAGCACCAGCAGCAACTGCTCAGGAGTCATTTGGACACGATATTGGATGTTTGCTTGCTGGAGAGTCCGGTGGGTATGACGGTTAGTGTGGATCGGATGGGGTGCATTTATGTGTTTCAATGATGCGCTGCGATGGGCTAGAAAATACAAGGATCGCTTGAATAGGAGGGTGAGGCTTGGTATGGAGATAGCATAGCGTTCGATATTGCAATCAGAGCTTGTAAAGCGCAGTCTTCTCAAACAAACAAGGCAGGCAGCCCGTGCTCGTTTCATTACTTGCGTCTACTCGCCTGTAATCAAGAAACATTCACAGTTGAACCCCGAGCTAGGAACACTCATAGCAGATTACCCTCCTGCGCCAGTCTCGTCCACTCGCATGGGCCATCTGTCAAGACAGGTGAGCAGCATTTCTGACTGACTTACCAAGTAAGCGCACATTCTTGAAGTTGAATGCAAGATTGCCTACCACAGAACCCCCTTCCTAGCAGTTTCCCTCTCGTACTTGCGTAGAACGACCTCCTGCTGCTGGTCTACCCACCATTTTTGCCTTCCAACCATACGGAAATTGCTCCGCCAAGTGATCACTCTTCGTTCCTGCAATTGGTTCTTCACTTCCACAACCGAATGTCTATTCCCAGCTTCGCAACGACGCGTTGACCACATGATTCACATTCATCATGGTGATTGGTCGTTTTGATCCAGTCGCTGCTTGAGCTGTACTTCCGTTGAGTTTTCCCGGCACGCATTTACTAGCTCTTGAGACACTTGCATCCCACTCCCCAACGTCTCATCCGAGTCTTTTGGAGGTGTCTCCTTTTCTCGTTGACCCTCAATAACAGGCGTAGGTACTGCTTGTTTCACAGTCTCCGAAACCGGCACTTTCGTTCCCGTTTTACGCACAAGTCTAGGCATCAGGCCTAGATTCTGCATCACTTTCGCAACAGATATCATATCGCCGTCAATATATACAGCACCGATAATAGCCTCGATGGTGCCAGCCATCACAGTTGGTCCTACAGGAGCATCTTTGGAAGACGGATTCTTGTTGATGAGCGTGTCCAGTCCGTTGGTGCGACCGACCATGTAAAGATTGGCATTTGAGCCAACGTCGGAGACAATGCGGGAGAGCCTCTCTATCAATTTGTAAACAACACTTTTCCTGGACAATTGGACACACTGTCAGCCATACCTCTGGACCCCTCCCCCTTGTACCAATCCTCAACAAGCGCCAGCTTCAGAACGGCATCGCCAACGATAGCAAGTCTGCGGTTGCCATCTGGAAATGTTTGAAACCCTACACTGTGACGCTCAGACCCAGCGCCTTGGACTTCGCCGGAGCGTATAATTGATCCCGGGGCCTGTACGGCTTCCCATAGGTACTGAGCGTTTTTGAAATTGTAGCCGATTCTATTTTGCAATTTGCGGACTGTAGGGGCCATACGCAATGCTGTCATGTTAGAAGACGTCCTGGGCAACTACTGCTAGTATAAGGATTCGCAATGGGTTTTTCAATTTGTTGTTCTCCGAAGCACGTGATGAAAATCGTTGATACTGGCCAAGTATAGACTAGCTCGGTTCAGCCTTATGGTTTTCAGTTCTCGAGAAACTGTCGCTCTCAATCGTTCACAAACACGAGCTAAACACAACCCACAGCCAGGATCGCTTACTCCTCTCTCCTGCAGGCTTCACGCCTTGCCTATTCCCCCCACCCTTTCCTACACCCAGTCCTCAGATCACCCTGCGTAACAAGCCGCCACGATGAGGTTAACCGCCGAACTCATCCAAGCCTCCCTCTCCTACCTCAACCCCCTCAAAGAGCGCGAACTGGATCTCAGAGGTGCGTTAGACAAGCTGAAAAGAGCAGATACTACACTTTGTGAGGCGAGCTCCATTGATATCATAAACGAGGACTACAGGACACAAACTACCTGCGATTGAGAATCTGGGCGTTGCCAAGGTTTGCCTCTCTACCTTCCCTTCCTTCCCCTTCCCCCCTCTCTCCTTACCGGCCTCTCTATGGGTACGAGACTGTACTGAGACATGGTCGCTGAACAGTCGCTGTAGGATCAAGACGCTATCGACTTCACCGACAACGACATAACAGCCCTCTCCAACTTCCCGCTCTCCCCTCGACTACGCACGCTCCTCCTCGCGCGGAACAGGATCAATAGCATACAACCCACGCTTGCAAACTCGTTGCCGAATCTCACCACCTTGATTCTGACTTCCAACAACTTCGCCGAGCTCGCGGATTTGGACGTGCTGAGGAACTTCCCGAGGCTCACGCTTCTATCGCTACTAGAGAACCCTGTCACGAGGCGAGAGGTACATGAGCATGTTGGCTACTGCAAGGTGAGGTCGCTGATATGAGCCTTTTTTTAGAATTATCGGTATTGGATAATATGGCGCTGTCCCACCGTCCGCTTCCTCGACTACCAAAAAGTGAAAGATGTTGAGCGCGAGAAAGCTACGGAGCTGTTCGGCACGGCCAAAGAGCCTTCGGCGCTCGCTTCAAAGGTGCGCTTTTCTCCGCTGCTCATTTCCTGTCTTCTGGCCCCTTCGCCCGCATCCGACTAACGGTCCTCCCGTAACAGATCATGGGCATCAAATCTCGCACCTTCGACATCCCCTCCACCTCTCTGGCCAATGGTACCAGTAGCGCTGGCGACAAATCGTACCGTGTAAAGCTGACGGACAAGGAGAAGAAGAGGGTAGAGGGGCTGATTAGGAACGCGAAGAGTTTGCAGGAGATTACGAGGTTGGAGAAGGAGCTGAATGATGGACGCATCCCGCAAGGAGGGGGTGATGAGATGGAAGAATGAGAGTGCTCGCGTGATCGGTTGAGAGAAGGGGATGAAAAAGCTTGCTGAAGCGTTGCTGCATATTGCGCGCATTACTTGTACTAGAGGCACTCCCATGGTTGAGCTTGGCAATACCCAAAATAAATCAGTTTATCTCGTGAATGGATCGTAGTGGACTCCATTCAAGTGTGTAAAATTTGTGTTTGTTCCAATAGTAATGTTATGTCAAGCAAAGAGGTACTTGATACGAGTCTCGAGTCCATAAGCAAAAGCCACACAACCACATACATTGGTACCCTGTCCGTTCACTCATTCCTTCGCTTCGTTTGTGCTCCTATTACCAGAGCATCTTACGAGTCCTCCAGAGCCTGCCGCTCTGCTAATTTGGCCCTCAAATAAATGATGCCATTGCACTCCACCCTATCAAAGTAACAATCATTTATTCATCCCCATATTCAGCGAACGGTCACTGGCTCCGGGGATGATATTGGCCATGGCGAATAGTCAAGTGTAGTAGCGAAAGTAATTGAATGCGAAGATTGAAGAGGATGTTTCAACCATCAAGCAAGTCGACATCGAGCCCAATAGCTTGCATGAACAAGTTGACATTGCCGCGTCTTTGTAATGCCATTTCCGGGGGCAGCGTTTTGCTCTGCTGAAGAGTCTCCATGACTCGATCCCTAGGAAGAACTTTGTCAGTGACATCTCCCAATCCGAAAGGGAGAGTCTACTCACTTGACTGCAAGAACCAGTCTCTGCTGCTGCTCGGGATTCGCTCCACTTCCCGTGGCGGCTAAGAATTGCCACACATACTGATCCTGTCCTGCGTTGACCGAGGCAGGGAAAACCTCTCCAAGCAGAGGCTCAAGAAGATCGAAGAAGCGATTGTAGATACCCAGCCATTGATCCCAGGTCTGATCGTCCGTAGCTTCAGTTGCCTTCACAATTGCTGCTCGGCTGAGAAGCATTGTCAAGACTTCCAGACCTACCCTTGTTCGAGCGACGGCGCTCAAGTTCACACGCTCTGTGACGAGACCTAAAAGGCCGATGACTATGTTCAAGGGCGCTTCGGTAACATACGAAAAGAGACTGGGCATCACAGCTTGCAGGAAGAGGTCAACCTGCTCTCGAGACATTGGCGAGGGCTGAGCTCCGGGCTGAGCTTGACGAATAACATCCAGTATGTCGAGATGTACGATAATCATTGTCAAGATTGTAAGACGCTGGTTTTCATCGATGTGATTGAAGATGCGCGGAACAGCTTTCTTACCCTTCGGATAGGAAAGGAATGCAATGAATGGATGGAGAATAGCTGAGTCAGGCAAGATCGGCTCGGTGACCTTGAGATCCATCCAAAGTTTTTGATTTAATTCCTGGAAAGCCTGCTGCCACTCCATGACTTGTTGGACCGCAGCGAGCTCGCTGTCTTCAGTAGGTGGCGCCGGTAGGCGGCGGTCGTGGTCTTCCATTCTCATCAGAGTTGAGTAGACTGCTTCAATGTTCTTCAGGATGGCCTTGCGGTCGGTTGTACTCAAAACGGCTTGTGCTTTTTTGCTGCTTTGCTGAGTGGTGACGTTGCTGCTGTCATGCCGCTTGATGTTGAGCAGGGGTTTCGGAGTCTTGGCATTGCTGAATGAGATTTTCCCCAAGCTGCCTTCAATGACCAATTGCTTGTTCTTGGGCTTAGCCTTTGCGGCCTCCACTGCTCGCTGGACCTGCTGTTCCATTCGCTGTACGTGACTGTCTCCGCCTCTCTGCCTCTTACCCATGCCACCTTGACGACCACCAGTCCGGAATAGATAGGTCTGTGCAAAATTGCTAAGGGGCTGTTGTGGATTCTGTCTCGGTCTATTTTCGATCTGATTGTAAACTTGATAATAAAAATCTTCAGAGAGCGAGGTATCAGGGTCCTGCTCGTTCACGTTTCCAGTGGCAGTCATCAGTTGCTGTAGTTGGATTCGCGTGATGAAATTCTTGTCTTGGGGGGTCATGAGCCCGTTACCCTTCGACAACAGAAAGATTTTGTGATTGCGCTTTGCTCGTTTGGCTTCCTCAACCAGATATGCATTACGCTCCTCGTCTGACAAATGCATAATCTGACTTGGGTGATAGATAATTGGTACAGGTACCTGTGCTCCATTCTGACCAGGAGGAGGCGCTCTTTGCTGTTTCTGCATCGATAACGGCTGTTCTGGAAGTCGAGGAGCGAGTTGAGCTGACTGACGATTTGGATTCTGCAAGATCTGGCGAGGCTGTGGTGATGCCTGGGTTTCTGGAGCTTGTTGTGGTGTATTGTGGCCTCGCTGTAGAATCTGTGGAGGAGCGGGGGCAACTTGAGGTGCTTGAGCGGCCGGGCTGGACCGCGTTGGTAATTCGTTGTTCGATACTTGGGTTGCCCTTGGCATGTGATGACCGGGTTGAGGCCTCTGCTGAATACTGATCGGCGCTTGAGCCAAGTCTCCTGGCCGCACGGCTCGTCCTGTCTCATGCTGGGTTGGGGGCATCTGCTGCGGGTAGGGCATCTGAGCTTGCTGTGGACGTGCAGGCTGGGGTGCTTGCTGTTTCGTTTGAGGCATTACGAATGGACCTGAAGCTTGAGCTAACTGCTGCGGTTCCGGGCCGGGACTGGGTCTCTTGGGTTGCGACCTCATGGCGGCCTCCACCTCCTCCAAGCTCATCATCTTCTTAGTGGGTACACCGCTGGAACTCCGTTGCTGAGAGGGCCCCACCTCACGGCTGCTTTGTTTTGATCCATAGTCTTTCGCAAATTTTTGGGGCCCTGTGCCCCATAGACTAGCATCTACTTGCATTTCTGGTATGTATCCCGGATTCTTGTATGCCTCATATCCTGTCCTGAAAGTCTTTGACGCATGCTTAGGAGGGCTTGAGGAAGCGACTGGAGGGTTTGATGGCGGTTGTTGACGATTGAATCGTAGTGCTTCTTCGTTAATCGCATCGGTGACCTTTGAGGTACTGCCATAGAAGTCGAAGTCTTTGCCAATGGATTTGGTGGTAGCCCCGCCGCCACCAAAGGTATCGTCATTAAAGTCATCGTCCGCCTCTTGCAGTTGGTCACCCAGACCATCATAGGTATCATCAAAATCAATACTGTGATCGTAAGCTATGCCATGCATCTCAATGGCAAACAGCCTACATACGCGTCGTCGTCTTCTTGCCCCAAACCCTGGTTCTGAGAGATGCTGGCAAATGGATCTGGAGCAGACCCGAACCCCGGAGCTTGAGCAGGATGCCCACGATCCTGAGGGCCACGGGGATCGAAACCGAAGAAAGACATTTGATTTTAGGACTCCTCACCAGACACGAAAGGCAGTCCAGGTACAAGTGATTGAAGGCAATATGAGACAAGGAGAAGCTTTTAGTGCAGGATTGGAACCTTGTGAGATAATTACAATACACAGGCAAAAATCTTGAAAGACAGACGAGGGGAAGCGGACGAAAAGAGAGTCTGTTTGAGAGAGTTGTTTGTGTAAGGTGGATGTACGTGGAGTTTGGATGTGGATCGTATCACACTTTAGTCAAGCTTTAGGCGGCACCAGCGGGTCTTCCGGTATCGGTAAAACCTTTCTCCCAGACTCCCATTCTCTGACGCTAAACCTTATCGTTAGCGTGCATTCTGCAAGCCCGTACTGAAATGAGATTCGTCACCCCTTGCGTTTGTGAAGACCACTTCTCTCTCATATTTGGATATCCAACTCTTCTTTAGACATACTTCTCACCAGCTCCTTGGTCAACTAATCCAACCACTATTCTCCTCCTCCCTTAGGACATTCAGCGACCTCCCTCATGTACTTCGAGAGTACAATGCACATTCGTCTTTGTTTGACATAATCATTCGCTTGCAGACACAGATCTCTGCAATCAATCTTGCAGTGGAAGTCATTAACAGCTTCAGGCAGTGAAAGAGTGGAGACAAGATCAAAGGCGTTCAATTGGCAAAGAGATCCAACCAGGAGTCATCTTCGCCCAAGGGCAAACTGTCTGTAGAGATGGCGGCTGGCACGTCGAGGATACTGCGTTATGTCTTGTTTGCTTTCTTCGTGGGTGTCGCTAATGGAAAATCAGTCTTGCCCAGGCTGACAGTGCCATAGGGCCTTATGATCCTTTATTTCATATCTTCCTCGTCAATACCCAAACCGGAAATGCCTGGTGGGTCGAATTTCGAGAGGTGGAAGAGCAAGAAAGACAAAAGTAATGCTTCGGTAGGGAAAAGCCCCGCAGGTCCTCCCTCATCAGGGGAGAAAGATCTTGCTGCGGAATCGGGCTCGTCCAAGCTAACGGGGAAGCTCGAAACATCATCCGGCCTTTCGACAGGAGCAAAGATGAATGCTACGTTTGTCTCGTTGACCAGAAACTCGGATCTATGGGATATTGCAGACTCGATTCGTAATGTTGAAGATCGGTTCAATCGAAATTACCACTACGACTGGGTTTTCCTCAATGACCAGCCCTTCGACGAGACGTTCAAGAAGGTCACTACCGCCATGGTTTCTGGCACTGCGCGATATGGCTTGATTGGCAAGGAGCATTGGTCATTCCCAGATTTCATTGATCAAGACAAAGCCAAAGCGGTTCGAGAAGACATGGCAGAGCGAAAGATCATCTATGGAGACTCTATAAGCTACAGGCACATGTGTCGATTTGAATCGGGCTTCTTCTTTCGCCAGCCTTTGATGAATGAGTATGAGTGGTACTGGCGTGTAGAGCCGAGTATCAAGCTATTCTGCGATATTGGCTTCGACCCGTTCGTGTTCATGGCAGAGAACAAGAAGAAATACAGCTTCGTCATCAGTTTGTTTGAGTACGCCGAGACCATTCCTACGATCTGGGACAGTACAAAGAAATTCATGAAATTACATCCAGAGCACATTCCTGAAGGCAATGCTGTGGACTGGTTGAGCGATGACGGCGGAGAGTCTTACAACCATTGCCATTTCGTAAGTTGTTTTCATCGAGCATCTAAATCCTCCCAACTAATGTATGTAATTAGTGGTCCAACTTTGAAATTGGTAACCTCAATTGGCTGCGATCGAAAGCCTACCTCGAATTCTTTGAAGTCTTGGATCAAGATGGCGGCTTCTTCTACGAGAGATGGGGTGATGCCCCTGTGCATTCCATTGCCGCCGGTCTCTTATTGAAAAAGGAGGAAATACACTTCTTCGACGACATTGGATACTGGCACGTTCCATTTACACACTGTCCGACATCTGAACAGAAAAGACTGGAGAATAAATGCCATTGCAACCCGAAAGACAACTTTGACTGGAAAGGATATTCATGTAAGTCCCTCGCATAACAATTCGAACCACTGTGCTACTCCATTTGGAGTATTGACAATCTCTAAAGGTACGACAAAGTGGTTCGAAAAGAATGAATTGAAATACCCCGAGGGCTGGGAAGATCAAAAAGACTAGACTTTTCAGGAGAAATTTCGAGAACCTAGGATGTATTCTACAAATTCATGTGAGGCGTCACGATTGGCTTGCTGGGCGCTGGAGCAGCCCTAACGTTGGGCTGGGGGCTTCCAAGGGGGCTGCGAGCGAGGCATTTGGCATAGCTTCGGCGTAAAGGGGTCCTGTATGATAAAAAAGAGGCAAATTGCTACAAACAATAAATCTCTAATCGCTCCCATCTCATCTCGTCGCCTTTACCAGGCATGACTTCAGTCGCTGGTGAGCATCATGTTATTTGCTAAAACTATCAGTACTCTATATGACGACGATGTCATGACGGGGCATCACCCAGAGTCCTCTTCTGACCGCTGCTGAAGCCAATGCTATTGACAACCTCATCACTGGAACTCTCCAAACTCCCCGTCATCGAATCCAAGCTCTGCTGCAGTCTTTTCAACAGGCTCAAACCCCCTACTTCTCCTCTTCTCGGCCCTTACATCCTGCGCGCTCCGCGGAGGTGCCAGCATCGGCATCGCTCCCCCATCTCCATTCACCAGCGATTCGGGCGGCGGTATTATAGAAAACGATGCAGTTGTCGCCCCTCCACTCCTTTCCGCCCCTGCATCATCATCTCCAGCTTTCCTTCTCCCTTTCCTCCCAATATCAACCACGATGGTCTGTCCCTCCTTCAACCCATAATCCTTCTTCACCTCGGCCTCAGCCTTCGCCTTCGCCGCACTCTTCTTCTCGGACGGCGTCTCCAACCCCAAAACCTTCCTACTCTCCTGCAAACAGATCCCAAAATCAATCGCCTCCCCTCTCTCCTCAAAGCCGATCCCCAACGTAGCTTTCATGCCCCCATCGCCCACCACCCTGATCGCAAAGAAGCGGCTGCTATCCAGCACCGCTTCTACAGCCCCGGCATCCGTATACGGTGCTTTGGCAAACAATTCTCCCGTTGAGGGGTCTTCGAGTAGGATTTCCGTGCTGAGGGATTCCCCCGCGTCTTTGGGGAGGGGTACAGCGGTTTCGATGACGCGGAGGCGGCCGGTGAAGATTTGGCGTTTGTTGTCGTCTGCGGTCCAGGTGGAGGCGGTGTAGCCTTTGTTGGAGGTCAGGGGCGGAATGTTGTAGATGTGGACGGTGGAGGCGATGAAGAGGATGCGCTGGATTGCGTCGGCGGGGAGGGGGGTGGGGGCGGAGGATGTCATTGGGAGAGTAAGTAGGCGGGGAGATTCGCAATGGGTTTCGGGGGTTTAGACCATGGTGGAAGACTGAAACGGTGGCAATCGGAGCAGGATCGAGGGACAATGATAGTGTAAGGCCTGTTCGAGGTGTGCAAGCTGCTGGATGAAGCC